TGCATACACGTCTCAATAGATTTACGTCTCGTTAAATTTACGTTCCGATAGATCCACCAACTGATTCCACATATATGCAGGCGTAAATAACGCTGATTTTTGCCTGCAAACTTTGGGTTTGTTTGTCAACCATACAGTAATGATTTCTATCAAGTATACAAGACAGTTATAAGGCAGAATCATTCATGAAATGCCCAAATAAATCATACACAGTATAAAATAAAAAGGGTTTACTTGTAAAACTCTAAAACATTATTTCATCAACTTTTCCGAGTTCTTAATTGACGGGCCGGGGGTGGTGTGTGTGTGTGTGTGTGTGTATGCGTGCTCTTGTGNAAACATTGACTAATCTTCGGATCACCGATTAAAGGTTAGTAAATTTTATATTTTTTTGGGGGGGGGATAGGTAAATTGAAAAAATCTAATCTCATTCTTAATTTCTTTTTACGGGACATAGATGATGAGTGCCACATATTTGACTTCGACTGTACTCCTTGGACGAACGTCAGGTTATTTGCCACATGTATGAGACAACCCACTTCTACGACATGTCTTGACTACACTTCTGGGATAGACGGACAGCCTCTCTTAGGAGCTTGAGCTGCTTGCTCACACTCCTGGGATAAAAGAAGGTTAGTAAACTGTAAGTGGGGAAGAGGGGAGCAAGAAAAAAAAATTTTTCATTTCTACCTGGAGTAAACATATTATTACGTGAACAATAATTAAGAGTGCCATGCCCCCGGTGTGCGATGATAAATGCAATTTTAAAAAACCCCTACCCCTATTCACGATGCAACCGATTTTCACCAAAGAGGATAACTGTCGTGCCAGGTGGGAGTCGTAAAATTCTAGCATATACTGCACATATATTACTAGTACTTTAATTATTTCATTTTGCAAGGTTCAATTCCATTTCCTTTCATAGTTTTTTGGTAAACATACAATTTGATTTTTAGGCTATAGTATAGCTACACCAGATGTCCAAAGGATAATGGCAACTCTCCAAGATGAAAAGCTCTAATGGCACACACATGTTTAGGAATACTTTGTAATAGAAGCAGACGGCCTTCCACCAGCTCATTACCACAGCACTGGAAAAGAATGTTTCAAGGCAAGTACGTGAGAAAAAAAAATGGTTACATACATTATTGCTAGTTATTGAAAATAATATTTTAAAAATGATATTAACTGCGCCTGCTACCAGTAGGTCTGATAAACCTCTAGCATTTACAGGTTGACTTACGAAGTGTCCATATTTGTTTATACATGTTATAATTTTCTTTTGCTCTCAATGCTCTATGACGAAGATTTAATTTGAACTTGTAGGCTACCAAAAGTGTTGGCAACAACGTTATGAATAAGGCAGCAACTGAATTTAAGTCTCTCCTTCCAATGATAATTCAGGAATTTCCATACACCTAATGGTATGTTTTCATGTTTACCCACTAAATCTTTCCATAATGTCAAATATAATTAAACTGAATGTTGACTGTAATGATTGCAGTATATATAATTAGATATAGAACTTCACACAAAAATCTTGACTTAGTTTTGATATCTATTTCAGAACTGAATATGTGGGATGGGCGTCATCTTTACTGTCTACGTTTTAGAGACATTTCTCATAACATGCAAAACACCAAATACTATAAGAAATGCGTCGAATAATGTACCCAGATCATATCCATATAGAGAATAGCTGAAACATTTTGGACCATGGCTAATGAGTACGGAGAATCACAATACATGTTATAACAAACCCAGTGCACCGAATGGATCTAACTCTTTGTTGGAAAAATATTGTTAATACACGCGTACGTACAAGTATGTAAATGGGTTTCACTGATAATTGCAAAGACAGGCTATTTTATTTTGTTTATCGTTTACTTAAAAGGTTAGTTAGATGTGGTTTTATCGAGATGAATTAGATATTTTTTTCACTTGTGCATTTGAACGTACTTTGATATCTTATCTAACTTAAGTGGGGTAGTCCTCATATCATATGTATATAATTAATTTAGTATATATTTAATTGGTTAATCTGCACTTCACGTAACTATAGGTATTGGGTCTATATGAGAATGTGCAGGGTTAATTTCTCATGAGAAACATTGGTATTGCCTATACAGTAATTATTGTCCACATTTCAGCCAATCGTTTGGGATTAGTATTTATAAAATATTTGCCTCTGACGGGGAATTGTTTAGCATTACATTTGAGAAAATCATAATCTGTCCTTTTCGCTAACCTTACTAATTCTAATCCTTTTCCTCCTGAAGAATGCTGGGTGCACACAGTCATTCCTCGAGGGGGGATCGCATGTCACTGTTTTTCTGATTTTCTCAAGTGTGGTTGAACAATAACCACTTACACGGGTACCTTTTATTCTCTAAATCAAAATTGACCTTAAAATCGGAAGTGGACAGTTACTTGAGATTATACCAATGATCCAAACGATTTCAAAGCAAGCTTGCTTTATTCCTTACTTGTTGTTCCACATTTCATGTTAAGTAAAGAGCAATAAAATGAAAGTATTGATGTTAAACTGTATATTTTTGTTATAACATTTGTTACAAAGGTGGGCAGTTTTCCTTAAAGATGTTTTCCTAATTATTCATTATAGAATTATTTGTTCCTGGGATGTTGAAAAAAATCCAGAATGAAGTTATTGGAGAGTATTGATTACATATTGATCAGACAATCTGCACCAATTTTATTATTTGTAATTTTATCATTTGAAAATAAACAATAAAGCAGGTTTATGTTAATTCTGTATTTGATTTTTGTAACGTTTAATTAGAAATAATCCTTTAGAAATAATTGCTAAAAGGATTAGAAATAAAGTTTAAAGTTTTCTGGTATCTTATCGTCTAGTTTGTATTAATTGCTAGTAATAGGCAAACATACTACGGTTGTAGGCCTACCCTCCCCACGCGCGCGCGCACACACACACACACACACACACACATACACACACACAGAATGTATTGGATTGAAACTAGACAGAATGCTTTTTTATCCCTTACACAGTAAATTATCTATGTATGCTTTACAAAATGTTTCGTTTTTGTGCCCCCTCCCCTTTTAGAAAAATCGTTAGTGTGCCTGTGTCACGTCTGCTACAAATGCCACTGATCAAAGCAAAGAAATACCCACAAAGTGGAGAATGTCCGAGAAGGGGTCCGCCATATATAGATAAACGTCCCAATAAAATATTCGTCCCGATATATACGTCTCTATGCATACACGTCTCAATAGATTTACGTCTCGTTAAATTTACGTTCCGATAGATCCACCAACTGATTCCACATATATGCAGGCGTAAATAACGCTGATTTTTGCCTGCAAACTTTGGGTATGTTTGTCAACCATACAGTAATGATTTCTATCAAGTATACAAGACAGTTATAAGGCAGAATCATTCATGAAATGCCCAAATAAATCATACACAGTATAAAATAAAAAGGGTTTACTTCTAAAACTCTAAAACATTATTTCATCAACTTTTCCGAGTTCTTAATTGACGGGCCGGGGGTGGTGTGTGTGTGTGTGTATGCGTGTGTGTGTGTGTGTGTGTATGCGTGCGTGCGTGCGTGCGTGTGTGTGTGTGTTTTCTGGGATTAATCGCTATGAAAAAAAATATAATCTTAAGTTCCTTTCAGAAGCCTTCGTAATCAAAACTAAATGAATGTAACATGAAAATAACAAAACATCTAGTGAAATCATAAAATTCTGTCAGATAATGCAATAGTAGGCCTAATGTAAATTACCCGAGTATTGCGTAAAAACGATCTAGTAGAATAATAAATTGCTGAAAGGATTAATATGTGTACTGTCGTTTTAAAAAACTGCATTTTATGTACTGAGTAGTATACCAACTATTTTGAGCAATAGTGTACCTGTAATGGATCTATCGGTATTTGGATCTAAAAATATCTATTGGTATGCGGATTTAAAGGACGTGGGTTTATGAGGACGTCGTATCTATAGGAACGCAAATATATAGGACGGTGGTAAAAATCTATCGGTTTTAAAATCTAAAATGACGTTTTTTCAGTTTAGGGACGTGTAATATTTAGGGATTAAATTTTATCCGTACGTACCCTCTGAGAAGAGGCTTATAAGCCTGATGCTATTTAGGCCCTACACATTCATAAAGATCAAATAGATGGTAGACTATCAAATGGCTTTGTAAACAAGTGTAAATACATAAACTACAAAATAAAGGGCCGAAAATAAGAATGTTGGTTAATCTTGGCTTTTTATAGCTTTTTAGGAAAATTACCAGTTTTTTCTGTGACATAAAAGCAGTGGCGGATTTAGAGGGGGGCAGGGGGTTCCTGACCCTCCCCCCCCCCCTTTGATTTCTGAAAAAAAAAATCACACCAAATATTCCCTCTTCAAATAAGAATGTTGACTAGCTGAATTATAGTTCTAAACCGTATCAAATGGCACCGTTCACCCTCTAAAATACCAAAAAATTTTGCGGACCCCCCCTNTCAAAAATTTTCGCGGACCCCCCCTCAGCGGGCCCCGAACCCCACGCCAGGTGAGGGGGGGGGGGGAAGGGTCGGCTTCAAATAATCCTGGATCCGTGTTTTTGGACGTTATGCTTACAGTGAGAATAATATATATAAGATTAAATTTACATGCATGTGATACTCGAGCCTGTTCCAGTGAATGATGAAAAAAATGCACTTTTGCTTCGACCTCGGCTCGTCTTATTATTCTACATGTATATGCACACTTTTTATACAAAGTCGGACTATATAACGTTTGGAATAGACATTCAAAAGTTCCCGAGGTAGAAAAATATCAGTACGCTTGAAATGCGCATAAGAAACATAACCTCAGTGTATTAACCTGTACATATAACGATGTACCTCGGAAAAACGGAAACAAATTTTTCAAAATTGTTGCAAAATAATTTTGTGTTACTCAGTAGTTGTGAAAATGCACTGCGCAAGCACTTGTCAGCACAACCACAATGTTTAGTTCTGCCAGCGTTTTGGACGTGGATTTTATGCCTGTTTTGAAGACTTATTCTGAATCGTTTTCTAGAGGCAGTTGCTGGAAGTAATACTTTTCATGATATGGGAGCAAACGCAAGTACCTCTAAATACAGAGATAAATCTTCTGTGACAATTCCTACATCATCTGAGGATATTTTAAGAAAAACTTATCAGGTGACGTGTTCACATTCAAAACATTATAATATATGTTCACTTTCTACTGAACTCTTCATGTTAACGCTAATCTTCATGATAATGGGTATTATGAAGGAAGTTGACGTAATTTCAGCATATAATTCCATAAAATAAATAACTTTATTTGAAAAGCAACAACAGTTTCACAGATAAATACAGATTTAAAATGACTTTCTTTCAGTTTCTGAGATGGATTCCTGTCAGTGAAGAATTTGACTTAGAATCTGCTGCACAAAATATCGCCCAGCAAGCACAGGTAATCAAGTACAGTGAAAGCACAGTTATAATACAGAAAGGTAAGGTCTATTTTCTCACTTTTCTATTCTTTTATTTATTTATTTCACCTAAAATGTAGCATCTAATTTATGTTGACTTGTATTACAATTTTTAAATTGCTAAGATAGTGGGAATTCAAATATGGTACGTTGGTTTCTTAAATTTGATGTGTTTATATGTTTAGTTACAGAAAGTACATTGGTACAAAACTAATTAAGTATACAGAACTTCCTGCAGACCTTTTTACAAAGAACAAGTAAATTTTACAGCGCTTTTGAACAGTTCCCACCCAATTTTGCCATACTTTTTAACTGTTCTTCCTGTCATTTATAATATTGATTTTGCTATACAGTTCTGACATTTTCATTAATTTTATTGTTTTAGGTACAGTTGGTGAAGGTATTTACATAATTTTGTCTGGGGAAGCAGTGGTTTTGTCAGAGGGAGAGGAGCAACAGGCAATCGCACACATAATGGAGGGGGAGTTTTTTGGAGAGGTGTCCTGTTTTTTTGGAAACCTGTGCACTGCTACTGTGATGACAGTAGCAAAGTAAGAATCTGAAAGAATATCCAGTATGCTTGTAATAAATACAATAAAAAATTACAAAAATTTGAAAATACTTGTAGAATAAAAATGATGATGATGGTGATGATGTTGATTATAACAGTGATGGTGATCATACAGACGATAATGATGAAAATAATGATAATGGATATACTGGCATTTTGGTATACTCTTCTGAAATTTTAGCTGAATATTGTAATTATCAGCTTATATCAGTTAGTCAAATAAGGCTATTGCATTTCAGTATTTCACTTCTGAAAGATTTTGTATTATTGTTTTTTTTTAAATCTCTGCCCTGTAATATTTTAGGGCAAAACTTCTTTTTCTTCGAAAAGATATGCTTGCAACAGTGCTGCAGCTTAAAGTAGATCCTGGAAACAAAGAGGAACAACTGAAATGGTTTGTAGCAAGACGATATCTCCCAACAACAGATTTGGTACAGAAAGATCTCCTAGAATTTCAGATAATTGTAGAGTGTTTAAAAACAGTTAAGTGACATCATGTAATGGTATTGCATAAATTTACAATTTGTCAGTTTTATAGTTGTTCCCAATGGTATTTTAAATAATCAATATTTTTTTAATAATGATTTGGTAGTATTTTCAAATTATAAAGATATATTACCTGAAGGAACTAGTAATGTCCAATTACCACAAGATTTTAAGTGCAGTTTTAAACCAATATTTTTTTGTAAAAAAAAAAAAATTCTTCAGGTTCCATTATTCTCTGTCTGGCCCGATGAAGCCCTGGAATCTGTAGCTTTGAACATGGCAGAGCCTATGATAATTGTGTATCCTCCAGGAGCATGCATACTTAGGAAAGGGGATCCTGCCGACCCTCTGTTAGTGTTACTCCGAGGAAGGTATATGTACAAACCTTTTAAATCATACAATTTATGGTTCTTATTGCTTGGTATGGGGAACTCTTGACAGCTTCGTAATTTTCCTGTTCAAAATTTTTTTGCCATTCTTTTAAAACTTTTCTCAGTGTATTTCTGCTCTTTTTAACATTACTCTTGGATTATGATTTTTTTGTCAAACTTGGCAACAGGCCAGAAGATTCTGCAGTGCATCTTGTTTGATACTGGTAGTTTAGTGGTTTGTTTCTTGTCATGCTGGTCACTTTTCGTAATATATTCTAGGGTCATGATAATGGAAAATGAGAAAAATGTTCAGGAAGTGAAGTCCAGAAGATTGGCTTTTACATTTGGAGAAGAAGGTAATTTTTTTTTGTTTTTGTCAAGTAAAAAATGTTTCAAATAATATCAGAAATGTGCCATTGTGCATTTTATTTGTGTATTTGTCCAACCCAAAGTAACCCTACCCCAGTAGCTGATAGTTGGTGTCACTTTTACTTTTTTCTACCAATGTCATTTTATTCCGTGTAGGCCATACCATAAAATTTAAAACAAATAGCATAATACAGCATAAAACAGCACAAAATTAATTTAAAGGTATTTTCTACATTAGGTTTGTTTACTGGTAGTGAAAAAATGTTAACAGTTAAAGCTGTTACCTGTTGTCAAGTAATACAACTGAGACGACATTTACTTTTCAAAGTTGTAAGACAGGTAAATCTTCCATTTAATGGTTTGGATATTATTAGGCTGTTATAATGTAGCAGCTAATTGGTGCTGTAGATAGTTGCTTAATGATGATAATACTAACCACATTTCTAATATCAATGTAAAATGTAACTCACAGTGCTATGTAGTAGCTGGGTTTCAAAGTTTTAAGAAATGCCAATTGAATTTCTCTTTTAAGAGTTTTTACAAAAACTTTTAATGTCATTGGTAGACGAAATGAGTATTTCTTAACTGACAATTATGATAAGATGTATGCGATATACAATATTTGTTTAATTTAAGCATCCAGTTACTTTAGAAAGGGCTTGGTCAAAGATGGACAAAAGCTGGAGAGATTTTTCTAAAAAGAAAAATTCAGAACTACGTGGTACATATCCAGCTGCATGTTTGCAGTTTGAGGTACAGAATCAGATGCAATGGTAAAATGGCCTCATGCTCAAAATAAAAAAAATAGATGTTCTTGGGGTAGAATATTAATTTTAATGGGGATAAAATCAGTGTCAGTTATGCAACATCCACTATTAAACATGTGTTCTTAAAAGCAGAATGTCACCTCTATGAGACCCATCTTTCACTTCAGACTATTTACCAAAGATTATGTCAAGCAGAGGAATTGCTGAAATTTCCAAGAAGTTTCATCTATGAGCTGGCCTTGGGGTGTGAAGTTGTGGCAGTTCACAGAAAACTGCAAAAGGAATCGACTAGTAAATATTGATTCAAAGGGGCAGTATGCATTTAGATATATAGGTTTATTGTTATCAAATACACAATGGCCAGTGTGATTTACAATATTACAGAAAAAAATATGGTAAAAAAGGAGTAAAATATGATAACATAATAAACAGGGTTTTTGTTATAATAAATCAACCCAAACCCAAAATACATCCTGTGTAAATTAAAGATGACAACACATGGAAATGGTGTAAATGCAGTGTGAAAACATAAGGGATGAAACTTTTCAGTAAGCTTCAATCAACAGAAAGAAAAGGCTATTCTTATATTTGTAATAGTTAAGAAGTGCTAGATAACTAAAAACACCAGAAATATTGATAATGTTATAAATATACGTTTTTTGTAGACGAAACATGTGGTTTGTTCATCTTAAAGGGAGAGATATCAGTCATTCAGCAGGAACAATCAAAAACATACAGAGCTGGAAGCCTGATAGGTAAGAGATACATTAGAAATGACATGTAATTCATTCTAGTTTTGGAATAAATCTCCCTTTATCTGGGCCAGAGATTGATTTTTTGTTAGATATATACAGACGTCTCTGGCTAGTTCTGTATGCTTTTCTCTACTGGAGTATTTTTGCGAGACATTAACATCACCACTCTACTGGGCTTATGTATGGAGTTGCAAAAATTCATTTTAAATATTACCTTCCCTTTTCTACCCATAGAGATCAGTTCAAAAATGCATTTTAATATTTTTATTTTGGTTTTATTTGCAACTTTTTTTTCTCTTCAGGTATGGATAACACAAATGGAAATAAAGAATTCCAGATGGTTGCCAAAGAAATGTCAGCAGTAGTCAAGTTAACTAAGCAATCCATGAAACATGCCCTGGAAAGTCATCCAGAATGTGAATTATTGATTTCAAAGAACTTTTTCAAAACAAACAGTTAATGGTAGCAACAACAATTACCTAAATGTTTTTAAAACTTAAACCCTTAGTAATTGAATCAGAAGTCATGTTTTTAAAGTAAAAATTATAGGCTCAGGCTTTTTGTAAATACAACAACTGTTTGCTGATCATCAGGAAAAAATGTTTGCAATTTAAACCAAATCTATTAATGCTATAAATTACAGACAGAAAGTCTATGTTCACTACAAATTTGTAAGAACATGTCTCCTTTTTGACTAAATAAAGTAAACATTTGTAAGAACAAAACTTGTCTGTTTTAACATTTGTGAGGACTTTCTCACTTTTCTATATACAAAACGGTTTTTGGCACTCAATGCTCCAATACCATCCTCCCCCTCAGCCTAATTTATTCCTTTTTCCATGACTAGGTGAGGGCAGTGGAGAATCTGCTTTAGTTTTTCTGCTGTTTGGCTGTGAAACGCCATTGGAGTTTTTCCGAACCAATGGTGCAACTGCTTGTGTATTGTTACTTGGAAGTTGTGATGCCTCGACACCTGGGTCAGGAGGGGCTAATGATTCCAAGTAGCTGACTCTGTGATTCAAGGCAACAAGAATGCCCTGCATCTGAAATAAAATAATGAAATATTTAAACCAACACATTGTTTCAAGTATTTATATATATATATTTTTTGCACCTGTTATAACCATACATATGTAGTATCCACTGAATAACATCCAATTTATATAATAAAATTTAACAATACAAAACATTGCACTTAGTGAATTTTAATGTGCGCTAAGCAGCTATATGCATTTGAAAATCTCCCAAAGTCGTATTTCCTGTCTTCTTGATAATTTGACTGAAGATACATCAAATCAAGTCCAAGAGTAGGGACAGGTCAAACAAACTCAGGAGTAGCAGTTATTAAGTAAAAGATAGACTTTTTTTATCAAGAAATTTTTTCTTTAAAATCTGAGATAGGATACCTTTTAACATAACTTGATTTGTAATGCCAGCAGGGTACAAAGGCTTCAAAGGTTATAATTCTCATACGTGTTCTTAAAAAGAACACCATTTTTCAATTTCAAGCTTATACCACGCATGAAACCAGTCCTCGCTGAAAAAGTATGATTTACACCATTCACAAGAATGACCCTGAAAAAGTCTTAATTCCAACCAAAGTCGGACAAGTCTCATCAATGTTATACGTACCTTTTGAAGTTGTTGCACTACAACATGGAAGGAGGGCAAGGACAAGGTGCTCTCATGACTTCCAGAAACAGATGGTGGATTGCCACTTCCCACTTCATAGCTAAGAAAAAACAATACATATTAACATGCAATTAGCATTTAGCTTTTTTGTTAAAGATGAGCCAGATAATTTAATACTAATACAACTATCACATTGTGAATGAGTTGTGTGCCCAAAAGGCCAGGGGTAAAACTGAACACATCAAAAGAAAAAAAGTTAGGTACATGTTAAAAGTTTGTGATAAATATTTAAAATAAACCATTTCAGATAATATTTAGATATCACCTCAAAAGCAAAATGATGCTTTTCCCCAAGTTCATGTCTCTTTAAAAACCTGTTTACCTTTTGATTTTATTGGCATCAAAACCAAATTTCTCTCTGATACTGTCCAGACTCTTGTGTGTTGTTTGATACATCTTACCAAGGAGTTCCTTGCAACTCAAACATCTCAGTCTGACAAATGTGCTAAAAAATGTGCAATGAAGATTATTTTTTACAGACTGCCATCATAAATAAACAATAAAGAACAAATATTCAGTAACTATGTATTTTGATTCAGAATAACAAAAGTCTTGAAAAGATATTCAAAATAATGAAAACAGGTTTTTCTTTAAAGCTACCTATTAAACAAATAGATTCCCAGTAATGCATATAAACCAATTTTACTATAGTTTCTTATATGAATAAAATAAAGTCAACATGCCAAGTCATTAACCAAATTAATCCCTCGTGCAGCTAAAAAATAGCTGTATAACTGCACCTTCTTCAAATTTCTGGTATTGCACAATCATTCCATTTGTATGGATGCAATTGCATGCACAATTGCATACTTATTCAAATGCGTTGCACAGAAAGAAAGCAGAAATATCCTTTCAAGTATCATTTTTTCCAGATTTATTAAACAATGCCCTTAGATATTCCCCTAAAATACTACTAAACTATTTGAAACTATGCTGGCATTTGGTCAGGTTTTTGCAGCAAAAAAAATTGTCAAAATTGACTTCAAATGCAGTTATTTAATTAAAGGGTCAAAAGCAATGATAAACATTTGCCAACCTTCCTACATCTGCACCTTCTGTTGAAGTTATCAGGGTGCTACCTTGGTACACATTTATAGCCGCTGAAATGTTGATAATGTCAAAATTATAACATGCATAGTGACAGGTACTGAAGAATAAATTAAGGCATTTAACTTTAAAGCCATTGAAATTGGAAAATGTTGAACTTTGAGGTGAACTTACAGCCCAAAATCATGATCCTCAGGTCTTGATTTATTCCCATCCAAGAGGATGAGTCGCCGATTATTACGTTACAATTTTCACACTGGAATACTACGACTCCTGTATCTTCTATTTCTTGAAGAGTATCGACAGTTCCCATGTTCTGCGTGATACAAACAGCAGCGATGTTCGACTTTCCCGCTTCCGTTCCTCCGATTGACGATAGTTTCGTATTTTGATTTGTGAAATAATAGTAAAAGCCTGGTAAATAACAAAATAATTTTATACATAGTATATGTTAATTTTGTTTTTAAATTATTATATGTCTGTTTGATTGAAAAAAATCCAATCAAAATGAAAATATTTAATCGAGACAAATGTTTTAACAACATTTAAGCTCCGTGTGTCCGCTTTATTTCCGGTGAAAGTAATGGCATCTGTGTGCCATGCAGTTTTGAAACGACAATGTCTAAGAAATAATCCTTACAACCGGCCTCAGTGGTTGTTGGGAGCAACCACTGTTTATGCACAGAAAGACAAACGCATGTTATGTTGTGCCAGTGCAAAGTTCCATAGAAAGCATCAATTTCAAACACCGTCTTTTGATAAATCTAACTGCAAAATATTTTGTTATTTAAATAGTTTAGGTAATTTTTATTGCTATTTCAACCATGTGCAAAGTAATAGATTTATACACACTTCAAGAAAACTACATTCACCTAAAGGCAAGAGGAAGGATACACACCGGTATCAGGTACAGATACAGTGTCTTTATATTGAATTTAAAATAAAAAATGAATAAAATTTCTGAAAAAAAGTAAAAATAAATAAGTAAATTAAATAAATAAATAAATAAATAAATAAGTTAATATACAGATGAAAAAATAAAGTAATTCATTGCTATTTTTTACTGAAATAAAATAAGTACTTGCAAGATAAGTGATAATAAAAAATAAATACTAGTAAGTGAATAAACTAGAGAAAGGCTAGTTAATGGTATTTGAAGGTTCATGAATCTAATGGTTTAATTGATATGAAGTTAACAGATTTGATAGTTACTTAAAAGAGGCCTTCTCATTAACAAAATTAAATGGAATATGTTTCATTGTCAGAAACGGTGCCTGTTATCTAGGCAAATCTCTTAACAATTAAAATGCCTTTGAGATGTGAACGACCAAGTTTTTCATCTATAGATTGTTTTCTGCAATCATACTGTACATTTAGTATGTGAATTTATTTTGTTCTATAAATAAGAAATGTGGCCCTGCTGGCTAGTAAGCATTTCTGGACACAAAATCTTGGCAATATTTAGCTATCTGATCGGCATCAAGGAATTTTCAAATGTTTAACATGTACAAGAAGAAGAGGGAATGGGATTGAGGATATATAAATACTTTTTTGGGATAACTAATTATATTTTTCTTCCTGTGTAGAAGGATGATGCAGAATTACTAGGAGAAGATAATGATGAGTCTGATGAAGAACTGGATTCTGATGATGATGATGATGGTGAAGTGGAGCTTGGTGATGATGTTGAGGAAGAGACAGATGGGCCAGAAGACTTTAGAACGATGAACATTACAGTGAAAACTGTGAGAGTAGATTCCTTGGTGGCACACGGTCTTGGCATTTCAAATAAGTAAGATATGCTTGTTTCGATGTCTCTTTTGACAATTTACCAATCTTTGGACTTTTCATCAGAATATTCCAATACTTACGAGTAACACATTTATGATCCCATTTAGTCAAGACTTAATTACATGACATGACCTGATCCAACATAGCACTTGTGGGGCTTTAAAAATTGAAAATTGTGATGAAAAATTTCTGTCACATATGGACACATTAGTGTGTGTGTGTGTGTGTTTGTGTGTGTGTGTGTGTGTGTGTGTAAGCAGGGTCTGTATACGAAGCTCTCACCTGTATCTATCAACTGAAGCTGATGCTTCTAGTATCTGAATCAAATGTGGAAATTCCTTAGGAGGCTCTGTATAATTTGTAGTGGGATAATATCAAATATATTTCAGAATCTATTTATTATACAAAATGATACATTTCCATTTGTTTCTTTCCTCTTTGCATATATGGCATATAACAATGCTTTGTCAGAAAAAGTTTTATAATTTTTTACAGAACTTATAACATTTTTTGATTGTATCCTGTATACATACAAAATATCCTTCAGTTCAAAGTAAAAATTTTGTTGAATACCCTTTTGCCCTAAATTTTTGTAATACTTTTGTACCACAAGAGTGAGTGCTGAGGTACATATAACAAGATTTTGTCTCCAAACTGCCGAGTTTTCTATGACTGCTGCGACAGCTGCATGTCCGCAGATACAGGTCTCCATTACTGCATCTCCTTGTAGGCTTCTACGAGTATTGTCTCTTTGTTTCTGTAGTTGTTAATTGGTAGGTGCTGCAATTTGGTAATTTGCTGGCTTTGCCAATAAGATTTTAAAACTAATTGCTGCTTGTTGTAGACAAAGAGTTCTCTTCTTCTTTGTTTTAGGCAAACAGAGGCACTGTTTTTAGGAACAAAAATCCTTGTCAATGGTGAGAAAATTCGGAAGAAAGCTAGAAGAGTAGGTGGTTTTTAGAAGTTTGCCTCTTTGTAACTGAACTGAATAATATTAAGGTGTGCATATTTTCTGTTGAAGTTATGTCTACTATGATTTCAGTTTCATTAAATTTAACAAAAATGATGAGAAAAGAAGATGGACATATAAAACTGTACAATTGCTGTGGTAGTTTAAAACATTTGAAAGTTAAGTGTAGCTGTAGTATTTGGAATATTGATTAATAATGACATGATTTGGGTTGCTTATAACCTAGAATTAAATGTTTTTTTTTTCTTTTTTTTGTAATTTTAGGTTAAAGTGGGTGATATTCTAGATGTAATTGGAGAAGGGCAGGAAAGTAATAAAAAAAGAAGAGTAAAAGTTCTTTCAATTGACACTGAAAACGTAACTAAAAAAGGGAGAGCACAAGTCACAATAAGAGCTTGGAGAAATCCTTTTGAGTAGTTTCTTTTCCTGATGCAGGAAAGAAAGCGTGAGGACCTGAATAAGCATTTGGTTGCCAAGCAGCATCTTAAAATTTTAGAAAACATGAATGGGGAAATATTTTTGCCCAATTTATTACAGAATTATAATTAGTGCAGGGAATTTAATCTGAAAACTTTTAAAATAGAAAAAAATTCATTGTGATGGATAAATGTTTTTTTTTATTATTATTTATAAAAGTTATACAAATATTGAAGATATAAAAACTGTATCCTTTTGTTACTAGCATTGATACATGGACGGATTTATACAATAGCTGCAATGCAACACTTTAAAACAGTTAAATTTTACTTTAATTATACACAATTTTTTGCAAATATCAGTGAATAATCTTTTCCCAAACCAGTCTTTGCTTAGTTATTTCAGCAATTCACTGGATTATTCACCAATTCATCTAAAACACTCAGCAGTTGAAATGCATTGTTGCATGAAAATCTTGTAGCAATTGTCTTTTTTGTACATGAGTGTACTTTGTGTAAGTTAATCACTTTTCCTGATTTTTTAATGAATGCTAATCAAACTGTTTGAATTACCATAACAACCTAAGCTTACAGTTTAAAGTCGTAAAGCTAAAAGAGTCAAATTTGATTTGATTTAGATTTATTGAATAAAAAACCAGTTTGAGCCTCTATGCTTTTCTTGTAAAGGATCACATCCTAAATGCTATGACTGTGTTTGTGAATGTGTACCCTGCTGACTGCTACTGTCCTCTTGGTCTTCGTGTCTGGTCTGTTCATCTGCATTCAGGACTGTGGTCCCCAGAATGCTCTCAATGTCTTGAATGACAGCCTAAGCAGAAAAAGTGTAGATAATGAGGCAAAACTTCTCTCTCTGTATCCAGTACTTTACATCACTTGCATTTATTATATAATACAACTTTAATTTTTTTTAAATATATACGTAGTTGTGATGTTTCTTTATTTTCTGACAATACTATACCTTAAAATTTGATTCTCCCTGCATGTTAGGTGCTGAGATCTCTTGATGTATCACAGATAGATTTCTGGCAAATGCTCCAAGAGTGCCTTGCAAGTTGTCACCAACAGTTCTGCAATATACACATGTAGAGTGATTATTCAATGGTGTAAATTCTCAAAATCTAAAGAACTGTCAGTGGGTCATTCAGGTTATTCCATGATTCATCTGTATGAAATTCTGAACCAGTCATATTCCACTGAGAGCCAGTACCTTCTTTCTGTCACATAAATTAAAAGTTGCTTTGGTCAACTTTTGGCTTTCAATTAAATTCTTCTTTTTGAAAATTTTATAACAGTGGTCTTGTTTATTTATAAAACTTCTACTTAAAAAATCACAGAAACTTACATCATGCCAAGATTTTCCCTGTTGAAACTGTCTATTAAGGTAAATATGGACCCCTGCTTTTCCTGGAAAATTTAAAATTGAGAAAAGTTATATTTTCTGAAACTATAAAATTCACACAAGGATGTGTGTGTGTGTGTGTGTGTGTGTGTGTGTGTGTGTGTGACTAGTTATGCCTTGTGATATACATGCCAAAATATGAACTTGTGTGGAGAGGGGTAGGGAGAGTCTATATCATTGGTGACAAAGCCAAGTTCTAATGCTAAAGGGCAGAGAACATTTAGGGCCATTTTCCATGAAGTCTCACATATGGATTTTAAAATATTCCGGTCATATTTCTAGAGACTGTTCATTGCTTTACTTGGTGCCTTACCTTGATATCAAAGCCAATCCCATGAGCTCTACACATTTGGAAGAAGACACTATAATGGACCACTGCCAAATTGGAATGGACAAGCTGAGTGCTCATTACAGCAAACCTGTTTGTGTTTGGTGGAACCTCTTCCTATTAAAAATTGTAAGGCCTCTTTTAAATATGGGCTTACTTGTGTCACAGAAAGGTTCGACTGTGCCATTAAAATTATGACAGAAAAAAATAAGTTCAAAATAAAAGCCAGCTAAAGCTGTTTAATCTACAGGCAACATGTTTCAGTTAAAATACCTTTGTGTCTGAAAATTAAAATTACATTTTAAACTAAAAGTGATTACATAACCACACGCAGAGTGTACCAATGCAATCACATTCTACCCAAGTAAGTTATTTTATAAAGCTTGTTACACATGATGCCTATCTAAGGACAAATAAATAAATATATACTGTTACACTGAGAATTTGGTATGGCTATATTTTACAATAATCCTTGTACGCACTTCCTCTCTTCCTTTAGGCCTCCTCTTTTTTGGTTCCTTCTTTGGAGGTGGAATGTTATAGATATGAGTGTTAATGTCCAACTTTCCACCAGCCACAAACTGCAGCAGATTGTTCATGGTAGTAGAGTCGCTGTAGGACAGGCTGAGGTCCACTGCCCACAGTACCTGGTCATCCTACAAAGAATTATCAACATGTATGAGTTTATGTAAATGCAAAGGCCAGTCTCCAAGCAACTTATTTCACAGGCAGTTCTGCAACATGCTCTTTCTATTTGAGCACTGTTCAGAAATGAACTTTGCAGATATTATGTGTTATACACAAAATGAAAGATTAACCATATTTCTCTGTAAAATTCAACTTACAGTTTTGGGGTCTATAAAAGTTATAAAGTCTATGGTAAAGTAGCAAATTCAACTTACAGTTTTGGGGTCTATAAAAGTAACAAAGTCTATGGTGAAGTAGCCAACGACACCCCTGGCCTTGCAAGCTTCAGCTATCCTCATGCATGCATCGTTGAGCTGGGCTGGCTCCACTGAAGACTGTGGCACTGACAGACCCCAGCATTTATAAGGGGTCTCTGCATGGATCTGATCCCCAAGGGATACTATACTGATCTTCCCATTGGGCTCCAGTAACATGTCCGCTGTTAGGGCAGTTATGTCTTCTGCAGGAGGACGCGCCTCTATAATACCACCTGTCAAGGCAAAATGTTTTCTCATGAGGTAGAAGAAACTGTTGCATCTCTCATTCATATGACAATTGAATATGTAAGGAAAATTCAACAGAGATCTTTGAATAAGCAATTGAATTTTAATGTCTTTTATACAACCAATTCTGCTTTCTTAAAAGATTTAAAATGACCACTGTGACAGTATTTTACTGATAATTGATGTGAAAAAAATGTATTAAGGACTTAATACAGAACTGAGAGTTGAATTGTTGCTTATTAACAATCTACTACAGATAGAGTTTACAGTGGTCAATCAGTGTTATGATTATGATGTTTGATTTTTTAAAATTAAAGAAAAGAGGCCATACCTTTGGCTAGGAAAGCATCTAAAAATGCTGGCCATGTTGGATATACTTTTGAATCCACTGGAAAACACCAGTGCTCTAGAATGTCTGGAATTTCTGACTGTATCTTCATAAAGACTTGTTCCTGTAAAAGACAAATGACATTCACAGATATCAACATTACCTAACTGTTAACATGATACACATTTTGACTAATTAGTAGACTTACTATTTTTTAATGGGTATAAAAACTGATATGTAATTGATAAAGCCTAATTACCTGTGCCCATTTCTTTGACCACTTGTCTCCATATCTCTTGGCTTCCTTCAAAGCCCACTGGTGACTCTCCAAGTAAGTGGTAACATTGCAGTATGCTATTCCTCTGCCGTCAAATTCATCATCGATTTTCAACACCCAGGTCTTGACTTCAAGGTTGTCTGTGACTAGTTGAGCAAGACTTTCATGAAGCTGCAAAATAGGGACAGTAAGTCTTTAAGTTAAACTGTCAATTTTAAAGTAATTTTATGGTTTTACTGAACACATCCGAAAATTTCAATTATGCATTTCTTTATGCATAACTGATTACCATAATTTAGTCATTACCATAGTTTAGAGCTTTTATCAATTATTCAGATTACCTTTTAGATTGCAAAGTTAATTAGTTCAAGTAAAACCTTAATATTGGGATAGGCATAAATGAAAGTGGTCTTTAGACCAATTATCAATCAACATATCTGTCAACAATCTCGCCAATGAATCTCATGTTACTTGGGATGGAGAGGAAAATAAAAGAAAATGTACCTGTGGCAGGCTGTACACATCAAACTCTGATGGCGGAATGGCTACATTAGCACTTTGGAAGATTCTCTTAGCACCAGATTTAGATGTGTAGAGATGCGCTATCTCTGGCTCTGTACACAACAGGGGGATGTTCAGGATATGAGCAACCGACAGGTCATCCTTGTGTGGCATCCCTGGAACAATGTAAGCATCTCGGCCACGTATCAGATTCTTTATCCTCCGTAGAGCTCTAGGGCTGTACTTCAGATGAGTAGCAAGGCACATTCTGTGGGTCTGAAAACGGAGAAAAAAGTGATTAAAAAAATCATATCATTTGCATATCTTTGAGCTTTATTGAATATTGAAAGTGCTAACATTCTACACTGTATCATATACTCTTTTGGTGTATTTAATCTGCCTTACAGAACTGTTTTGATATAATTAAAGCTACTCAATAACAACAATAAATAAATATAATGATAATAATAAAATAATAATAAATAAATAAGCACAGAGTTAGATAGAATTGAATTAATGGCTTAGGAAGACAATAGACCAGTTAAAGCTTTACTCACTGGAAAACTCTTAATAGCTTCAGGTACAATGATCTTATATCTGTCTGTCATATCTCCCTGCTTGTCCACATCTCCACTGTCAATAGCTGATTTGAGCCCTAGCAACTTGGTGTAATACTGGACTGTCTCATCATTCACAGGCACAGGGGATATGTAGATCACATCTACATTGGGGTCTGAAATATTCAATTATTGCCAATGTCATAATAAGTTTTATACTGCTTTTTACATACATGAAATTGACACAATACTGACGCATAAATTCTGCTGTAGTCCTTCCTCTTAGAGTTTTATAGTACTGCTGCCTATAAACAGTCCTCCTTTGAGCTAATGAACATACATTGTACATGTATACATTGTACTGACCTCTCTAAAAAAGGGAAATATAAAAATTTATGGTCTATTTGCCATAAAAGCAACTCTTTCATACTCAGGCAGCGCTATGACTTACCTTTCAGGTCACATAATCTTCCCATTTGAGCATTTTGACGTATTCCAAAGTCTTTGATACTGTCTCTGATTGGTTGGTTGTAGCCAAGGGAAGGAACGTGAATGATTACACGTTTGGAATGCTTCATTCTGTTCCACTGTGTTGATAACAGCTTAAATAGAAACCATAGTTCATTTTAGTCTATTTGTTTTTTTTTCTTCAAAGTTCTAATTATATAAATACATACATAGCTAATAAAGAGTAAGTGTAGAGCAAAATTATAACCACTGCATTTGATTTGTTTTGAAGAGCAAAACATTGGCCTTTTTCTCACCTTTGCTCTCTTTCTAAAACCTTCAAGCTCAGCAATCCGTGTTCTCTTCAGTTGTTTTCTGACCTGTGACATTTTGACATTCATGACCCATGTAATGGCAATGACTCCTGATGCCCACTTCAACCTTCTGTATTCCAGGTACTTCCTCCTATCCCGGAATCGTTTCCATGTAGCTTGGATCTTAGTTGCTGCGGCAAACTCCCCATCAGGGCCTAGATACCTACGGCCCTACAAAAGAAATGTTAGACATGTAGACAGAAAAAATATATCAAATTGTCCCTTGTATCAAAAAAAATCTTTCTTGAGAACTGCAGACGGTTTACTGTGATTGTTTTGTTATTTTCAGGGATATTGCACAGCTAAGCATAACTTAGTTATAACAGTGCCAATTTATTAAGATTTTTATCTGCTTATTACTTTGATGAGGCAGTAATACTTACGGGTCTTTTCAAGATAGACTCCACATCTTCTTTGTTAATGATGACACTCAGCAAGTCATCAAGAGTTGGTTGGGAGTCCAGCTCATACTCCAGAGATAGGTCAGCCAGCCTACAGAAGCAGATTAAAGAATAAATGATTAATAATGGAAAAATTACTGATAAGTGAAAACTTTTGTTTCCATCATTTTTTCAAACAAATGGGGCAAAAGACAGAAAAAAAGAAAACATTTTATGAGAGAAATCCTTAAATAAGCTATACTTACCTTTGATAATTATGAAAAAATCAAGGAGTCATGTGTCTTTATTATAAAATAGATTTAGAAGAAAATTTGAAAGTCAATCAATGAATAAGCACAGTACCTGTCTCCATGAATAAATGCCACAGGTACAGCATATTCTGTCAACATCCTTTCGAGGTGCTTGAACATGGACACAATGGCACCCCAGGACAGACAATAATGCTGCTTGAAGGCAAGAAAATCTGGCGCAGTATCCCTGACTTTGCCATGTTGCATAGCAAAACGATAGTTTGATGCTTTGAAGTCACCACTGGCTGGAGTAGTTGGGGGTGGCTGGAACAAAATAAGCAAAATAATTATTTCTTACATTGTAATTTGCAGTGTCATTACAGTCCAATAGAAGGAAACGCAGAGGTATGAACATGAGGACATTTTCCATAAATTAAATCAGGGAGGAGTATAAGCAAAACAGTACAAAACTAAATTAAAGCATTACATTTTAAGTGTACAACAAGACTTTATTAAAGCTAAATAAAAGCAACATAACAGTGTACTATGATGAAATGTGCTTCTTTCACAAATTTTAAGCAATAATGACAAATGTACAAATTCAGTGAGAGAAATCTTAAGAATGTTTTGTGAAAACAAAATTTAATGGGTTGTGAATGTTGAATTAGCACACAAACAAAAGTGAACACAACAAGGAATAAAAATTTCTTAAAAAACAAATTTTGCAACAAAAACAATTTAGTTAAAACTCAAACAAAATTAGAATTTTATGTGTTAATAAAAACATTTCCATAGATATGTAGTATGATAAATGCATATAATTGTTTCTGAATCATTAGACACCATGAGCTATAAAAAGAATTTGTTATACAATCAAACCAGAAGTTTTTATGACGAGTCCAACATACATATACCACAACATACATAAGTAGTTTATAGGTTATAATCAAATTGGCAATGCATGCAAATGCACCAAGTATCATAGTGCAAGTGCTGCATTATTTCATTATATACTGATCAAAAACTGAGAACAATTAAAATAACAAGTGCAGGTGTGAATCAATGTTAGGTAAGCAAGGTGCTGCACATAAAGCTAATGGAATAGATTATGTTAGCTGCAATTAGTGTATTATCCATGCTGCTGGTGCTGTTTCTCTGGCTTGTCATGCAGTGAAAATATTATCAAATAGGACAGTAACCAAATACATCAACATCAATCGAAATTGAAAACAAATAATTACAACTTGTCCGATGGGGGTGACTGCTGTCTGTTCTAAGAGTTCCATAATCACAGCATTGGTTGCAGGACGCTCTGGCTGTGTAGGCAAGGGAGAAGCAAAAAAAAAATATTGAGTGACTGCTCAACTGATTGTACTGAAGCATAACATAATAAAATGACTAATGCAACAGATGACTGGCAAAGCAGGTAAAAAAAGAATACAATGCAAACTAAGGAGTGGATATATAACATACTGCAAATTATAGAATAACACATTGGGTGTAGAATTAATCAAAGAAGACAGTGGATGAAAAGATTCAAATCTTCTGGACAATTCATGTTCATGCATCAACACTGTTGTTGAATTGGCCAATTAAGAATCAGGATGCACGCAGCATGATTTGCTGCATGTCTAAAGACCTTGATTCGCATGCAAAAGAGAGGGTGAAAATATAAACTACCTTTCCCTTAATCACAGATTCTCCTGGCGAAGACTGGCAGAGGAAAGTCACATTAATGTATATATATATATATATATATGTAAGCATATATTTTATTCTGTCTTAATTAGGAAAAAAAACTCGACTAATTCCTCTGAAAGATAAAACCTATCAAAATTCTATTTATGAAATATAAAACAGTGGTGAAGGGTATACGTTTTTTAATTGTATTAAAATAACTTGAAGCAGTGATAGAAATATTCTACTTACCATGGGTTGTAAAGGCATTTCAAACTTCTTTGCCATGACTGGAGTCTTTGATGGTTGTTCTGCTCCTTTCCTATGTTTCCCATGTGTGGGTGGAGAGGGTCTGATGCCACGAACCACTGATGACACTGTGCTCTCTGTTGCTTTGAAGTTTGTGTCCAACTTTATACTGGCAAGGTTAAAGCTCCCATCTTGGGGGGAACAAAATAATTCAATGTGCTAACTTTTTTTTCTATTTTAGAATTAATATAATTTAACTATTTATTTTTACAAGTGCATTTATTTCAATAAAATTAGTGAAATGTCTTCTTATTATAACTACATTAGGCCATTATAAGTAACAATCACAAAACAGAGACCACAGAGGTGCTCTTTAGACAAAATAAATAAATAAATAAAGCTGAATGTCTCTGTTATCTTTTTTTTTCCACTCACCACTCATTGGAGAGGGTTTTGCCTTTTCTCCAGATTTTTCCATAGGATCATGCAGTGGTGCCATCCTGTGGTGGACTGGTGAGGGATCAAGGGTCAACTCCGCGGCAGGAGGAATGAGGCCCCTCTCTATCAGACTTAAAATACCATGCTTGGCATCATCTTCAGATATAGCTGGTGGGATCAACTGAAAACAAAAAAAAAAAAGAAAAATAATAATAATAATGAAAAGACAATTGATAACATTGCTTGTCATAGCTGTTTTTCACCCCACTGATAGTTGCAGCTTCTCTCTTTTTACCTTGAAGTTCAATGTATTAATCTGTGGATGTATAAAATCATGTTTAATCATGATAATAGTAATAAAACTAATGTGCCAAGGACACATAAAAAATGATCTTACCTGTGGATCTACTCTGTTAGCCTTGGGGAGGACTGTAAGGTGTTCCACTGTGTTTCCCTTTACAATTTTTGCACTGGATGGCTAAAATTCACATGACAAATTTGTCAAACTGATAAAATAAATGTAAATTCACAGGAAACTGGCAGGGTGAAATACCTGTTCAGTTACAGCTACAAATGTCTCTTATGCCCTACAAATGCTTCACCCCATGCCCAAATCATTATTTAAAATATGTAACAATTTCATAAATAAAATATAATAGGACCTGATCAATTTGACTGAAAACTGAACTCACTGTTGCAGATTTCCTGTCCTCCAGCTGTGGCAACTGTACCCCAAAGTTGTCCTGCATCACTGTTCTGTTCTGAGGGTTGTGAGGATTCTGGGCAACTCTCATGCTCCAGACTTGTTTCAGCTGAAGACAAACAATGGTATCAAGATTATTACTCTTACTTTGGTTTTGTTTGTCTGTTTTGTTTCATTTTATTTTTATTTTTCAGTTTCTATTATTATTATAATATATATTATCATTATAATGATATTTTTCATTATTATTTAAGTCTCAAAAATAAATAAATAAAGAAAAATTACAGCATATCTGAAATGGGAAATTGGAGAGACAAGTATAATACAAAATATACCAGTACCTTCTGACCAGGTGTAGCTCCAGTTAATTGGTATCTTGGTGTCTTTCTCCCCAGGGTTAGGACAGGCTGTGTATCCATACCCCTATATAAAGGGTAGCAAATAAATTAAGAACATTTGTCACATAATAATTATTTAATCTGACCAGAGACAATCAAAAGAGAGATCAATAATCGACTTATCAAATTATTATAAAATTACAGGATAAAGGGCAAATAGTTTGTATCTTATGTTTAGATGTTTTATGAATTAACTTCTCTTTAGTATATTAATATACATATAATTTCCTTTTTAAATCCATTTTCAAAAAGATCCATCTAGGATAAAAAGAGGTTCAATTAAAAAAAAAGGTGTCTGCAATATGTTGTAACATCACTGAACAAGAAACTCCAAAGCACAGATATAGCATTCTAGCTACTACGCATGAGTCTTCATGTATTCAAATATTAATAAGCAGCCATTTATATCAAACTTCACATAAACTGTTTACATTTTTTCTGGAAATATTAATTAAAAGCTGATGACATTCAAACTTAGGATTGACAATCCCTTTAAAATACTACATAGGTGACTATCATGAACAAGAATGGATATCTATTTTAGGAAGATCAACAGATATCACTATCTCTAAGCAATCACAATTTGGGAAAGACAATAGCAAAACAACACTGAAGGGGGGCAGGCAGATTATGCACATAAGAAATTACCCATGGATTGGCAGGAGTGGAAAACTAGATATGAATAAAAAGGAATAATATATGAGGGTATATATCTGGGTATAAAAGGATATAACAGTGTGGTAGAGCAGAGAGTATATCTTAAAGTGCTGTGATAAAATATTTAATATTACGCATAAATTACTTATAACCAGAAATGAAAAGTAACTTTTGAAATAAAAAATGTATACATGTAAACATTTTAAAAATTTAGATCTTAAATAGATATATATATATATATATAAAATAAAACAGTATGATAAAAAATAATAATAAGCACTGAATAACTAGCAACATGTTGTCTACTGCTGCGATGCAAAGCAATAAACAATTACCTGAGGAGCTCGCTAAGAAAAATAAAAATAACAAACAATGTCAACGACTAAATCCAAGGATTACTGTATTACAATTACACTAGTAATCAGTTGTCTTTTTAAAGCAAATGACACATCAGCTACATGTTGCCATCAAAATCTTCAACCAACGACTCTACTTCCACATCATCCACAGCAAAACACTTCTATTTGAGCTAAAAACCACACTATTATTTTCCAATTTTCAAAACTAAAAAAAAAACAGAAGTGTTTAAAAAATACCTTGTTTCTATCAAGGTCCTGCTGCCGGGTCTCCTGATCTCGTCTCCTCTCTGAAGGTCCCATGTTGACTCTACAACAGGCCCTGTGTAAGATTGTTCCCTCTGTTGCAGTTGTGCCTCTAGAGATGGTAGAGTGGAAAACTGCTGGTTGATCTCTCCAACTACCTGCTCTGACCTCACCTAAAAAGTAAAAAAAAAATTAAATCATATTTCATTGCTTCAATCATTATTGTTTTGATACTTTGTAATTTTTCAAACTGTAAACTTTTAAAGGTGCTATTCAAGATTTTCGTGCCAATTTAAATTTTCCTTGAGAAAAATAACAATATTTTCCAACCACTTCAAAGACCCTTGCCTGTACTTTGATGAGATATTTTCCACCATTTCTAATCAAATAACTTATTTCTTGGCAAATCAAAATTTATTTGGACCATCATTAATCTTCCTGACATTCCAAAAGGAAATAACATATTGAGGTAATTTTATCTTTGGGGCTTTATTGCTTTCCGAATCTGAAAGGGGAAAGCTTGGCAAGATATCTAAGTTAAAAATTTTGAAATGCATATTTCTATTTAGCTCATTCTCTGTCTGGCTTTTTGTTCTATTCATTTATTAACTTAATAAAATTAAATAAAAAAGCAAGTGTTTTATATTAATAAAATTGTATATGTGGGAACAGGGTGATGAAAAAATCGATCAAATTTATTACCGAATGTTTTGTGCTAAAAGCTCCTCTCAGTGATATGTTTAACACATGACTGCACTGCACCAACACTCATACAAGACCAGTCTAAAGGAACTATCGATCATTTAAAGCAGTCAAAGCACTGAATAACAGAACCTATTACCTGTACAAAGTAAAATGGTGCACAATGCAAACATGTGCCTTACTGACTACATATTTACTAGTAAAATCAATATCCTTCAATAAGTAATCTGAATCTTATTTTCGTTATACTTGTTCTGTTTATCTTTACTCAGGAGGAAGGTTACATTATTCCCACACATTCTTACTGTACAGGAACCTAAGCTTAGCTTCTTTTACATGTATCAACGGAGTAAAAGCAAGACCAACTTGTAGATTTGGAGTTATCTTACAGCAAAGCAAAAATGCAACAATCTTGACACTTTGATTATCAAAACATATACCTGCCCCAGTACAAGAAATGGGTCTTTAAATTTCCAGTCGCAGACTTATTTTAGCATTAAAAAATATATATTACATTTGAATCAAACATTTTTACAAAAATATGCTTTTCCGTTTACTAAAATTATTTTAAGTGCTTTTACACTTGTTTAACCAAAGAAAATGAGCTTAATGCCTAAAAATGCTTAAAATTATTTTATGAGGCCTTATAATATTATTACAATTTTAGTCCAAGGTTCAACTACCAAATGAATATCACATGCAGTGGTGCAACATACATGTACATGTACTGGTACTGGTACTGGTACCTTTAAAATCTTGATGAAGTTGATGTACTGTATACAATTTTGATACTTACCTTTAAATCATGTTCAGTTTTGTTGATAGCATTCTCTAGAGCTGTCAAATCAATAGTCCCATTTTGAGCTTGGGTGAGCAATTTGTGCTTCAACTGGTGAAGGTCTTCTTGAACCTACATGTACATTTAAATAATATTTTTGAGATAATTAATTGTGATTGTTGGTCAAACATTACAATGAAAGTATTGATCATTAATAGTACTGTTTAATTTCAATGTTATTTTGATTTTCATATATTTATGTAAACTGCAACACAGACACAGTATTTTGATAGTCGTTCAATGTATTAGAACCACCCTATTTTTTCTTAATTGTGTAAACAAGCAGTAGAGTCTCTTGATTTATATCCAGTTAATTAGGGATATAACAACTCTGGTGTGTTCTGTATTATACAGTAGTATTGGCAAATCATATCTATAAATACTCACTTCATAACGAAATCAATATTATCAAAAGTTTCATGCGCTTCGATTTTGAGACAACTCGACCTCTTCGGCAGCAAATCATTATTTGTCAATTTAATTTCGTCTTGGATTGGGTGACAATCTTTCTGGAATTAAATCTTACTTACCTTCACTAGTATTTGCCCAACTTCTTCTGGGTGGTTATTTACATCTGCCATAATCGGCATAGCTATATCTGAAAATATTAGACATAAAAAGGGGGTTCAACTCATAAAACAGTAGCTTATTCCAGTGCTCGCCATAGTTCAATGTAACTCGGCAACTGGCAACAGACATAACAACATGATTTGCAACGTCATGAATTTATGTGTGGGCTAGAAGTGAGGTTTCAAGATAAGCTGGCATATTTGCCAATTTTACAATGAATTTATGATCAAAAGAAAAAAATTGTTTAGGTTAGACTTTTAATAAGGCTTTGTTAATATATTACTTCATAACGTTAAAAGAAAACAACAACAATGTCTTGTCTTGGCAAAAATACCACAAGGGGGCAGATAAGTCCAAATGGATTCCCCTTGTGTTCTTGTTGCAAGCTGCACGGAGTTTTCTCCGTTTGACCTGGCTAAACGTAGGTTGAACTCAATCTAACGATTTCAACGTGTTAACTCTTTTTTATCTTAAAATATGAAGGTCATATAACCTGTTGAGTGATTAGTGTAAAATGGATTCGCCTTGGGAATTTGCCACCTCCCACTCCTTGCACTCTGCAGTAATTAATGATTATTGTAGTTAACGTTTACCAACCGTTATTCTCCGAACTTGGCTATTGTTATAGATGATTTAAGTTATAATTTATGAGCTTATATTATTGCTGCTAATATTTGTGTAACATAGTTCTGCATCACGAACAGAATCATAACCTTATTGTTCAATCAATTTTGACATTTCAAGTTATTCAAATGATTTAAAGGAAATAATTTAGTTCATCAAAAGTATTTGCTTATTCTCATGGGATATTTTTTTTCCAGAGATACTCACGGCTGATGCCCTACCAGATCCCAGGCAGCGTCTAGAAGGAATACTAGCATACCCTTGGCACATTAACACAAAATATTACACTGCCAATGTGGACATTTGTGTTACAGAAAAGCGAACCATTGGGGACCAGAAGTTTGCAGAATCAGTTGAAGCATTTATTGTTTATTTTGATAGCAAAGATGTAAGTTATGTCTATAGCAGAAGGATTTCTTTATTTTTGCTGTTAGTGGAATATTGACAGGGGCGGATCCAGATATATTTTCTGACAGTCATCCTAATTATCTTTGTTGGTCCATCCTCCATTTTTGACCGTCTTCTGACAGAAAAAAAATTGGTACCCATCAATGTAAACTTGAAAATCTGACCATCTTCCAGAAGATCCAGAAGACGACCTCAATCCACCCCTGATTGATGTAAACAAAATATATTTATGGGCTTTGTTGCCATTTGGTTATACAGTGTTCATGTACGTATGGTACATGTACTATTTAAGAATAAATGTACAGCAGCTTGATATGAAGTAGATCTATGCTTTTGTCCTAACATACCCCTGTAGTACCTTTTTATTTGCATATTTCATATCAGTAATTATTTGTACTTGTAATTTTATGCATCAATCCAAAACAAAGTGAAAAATGTGGTCACATTTGTGACCCACACATTTTGTGTAATATTTACATAATTATTTTATATCGTTTGATTTATTGATTCTTTCCATATTGGAGGGTACTATAGTATAAAGAGAAAAAAATGATAAGACAAAATTATGCAAATATTACACAAATTGTTCATCACTGATGAGAATCAAATACTTTGCTGACCCATATTTTTATTGAATCATTTCAGGTGGGGAGTTTTGAACAAGTGAGATCCTGGCTTCCATTTATCAAAGAAATTGAACCATCCGTTCAGATGTTGATCTGTGAATGCTGTGATCACAGTGATGGTAAATATTGTTAACAGTTATTTTTGATACAACCTGCTTCAAAATTAGGGTAATTTCTGGTTGAGCACAGTTGCACCAGATATTGTTAATTTTACAGACTAAAACATTTTTACCTGTTTAAATATAAATGTTACCTTTTATTGATACAATCAACATTGTTCTTCACAGCTGTTCCTAGACAGAGGGTTCTGAAGTGGTGTCTGGATAACACATTTGAACTAGTGGAACTAAACCCTGTTCAAGACAGTGGAAGTGAGGAAGGTATGACATTGAGGACATTCTGTGCTGAATTTTAGAAAGATGTGCATGTTTTAATTTGAGAACAGACCCTAGAGTTTAGATTAATGAGAAAATATCTTCATTGGATCTGTAAACAGTTAAACTGAAATAATGTCTGTTATAAATGTCTGCACTATTTAAAAAAAATAAGAATCTAATTATATCTTTTCAGTGTGGAGTGATATTTCACCAATCACCACACCAGTAAACAATAATTTATTTTAGAATATGTAAATTTTTTGTAAGTCACTTTGGTAAAATAAGCCTAAAAATTTTAGTTTGCTGATCTGTTATGAATACTGAACAAAAATCTGTAATTTATATTACCCTTTTGTGTCTTTTTTAGATGATTTCCAAGAGACAACTGGTATGAAAAGAATTATTCAAGCATTACATGCTCATACATGGTCAAATTTGGAAATGAAAGGCAAGTTAAATTAAACCTAAAAAGGCATGTCACACAAAAGCCTTAAGAGTTGTAAACCCTAAACACATTATATTGTATTTATCTCATATATAATATCTTTCTATTTTAAGTTCATGCATGTTGCACTTTATGTCTCCTCCATCCACTAATTTTCAGAATTTAGTTCAAATGAACTAATTTCAAGTGGATGCATTAAAATAAAATGTAACAATGATATCAGGTTTGTGCTGGAATTTGGCCCATGGGCAGACCCTCTTTATTCCAAATAAAACTCTGTGAACTAACCTGAATGAACATAACTACAAATAACTGTATATATATATATATATATATATATATATATATATATATATATATATACATTAGAACAAATGAGGTGATAAAGTATTGATTTGTGGGGTTGCAAAAACGCCCCCACATACTTGTAGAACAATGAATAAAGGTAGGGGATGTGAATACTTTGATTTTCAGATATATTATAATCACATCCTTTGGGAAATTTGGATATATTGACATTTATTTAAATGTATTTAAGATACAAACAAACTTATTTTTAATTGTAGAATTAGTTAATTTTTTTCCCATTATAGACCGGCCAGCATTTAGAAGTCCCTATTTTGAGCAACTGATGGTGGAGGAGAAAGCAGAAAAAGATGCTGCCAAACTTCAAAGTGGTACAAACACAGAGAATTCTACAGACAGTGCAGATAATTCCCAAATACATGCTCATTCCATTGATAATATTCAAGGAGAGCTAAGTAAAAGTTTAGCTGGTGCTTCAAAACCTGATAGTGAAGAAGCTGTAACTCAGAATGCTAACAGTTGGTCTACCTCAGCAAATGATAAAGAAACGGGTGGTGCATCTGATGATATGAAAGTGAAGAAGGGAGAAAAAACAAGAAAAAGCAAGGAACAAATACAGGAGGAGAAGATTGGTAAGTTTCTTCTTTGGCTTAGTTTTAAATATTATTACATTTTAACAGTTGATAAAAAAAAAAAAAAAAAAAAAAACAGAGATATGCATCCAGTGGCTTTTTTTACAGATGTTATTGTCATATACTAAAAATTGAAATTCAGGCTGATTATGAATGAAATGTACAAAACCATTGACAATTAAAATGGTGTTTTTCCATTGTAAGAATTTCTTTTATTTATTTATTTATTTTTTTTTTTGCAGATTCTCTAATCAAAGATGATGACCTTTCTATGTTGGCAGCATTAGGAAACAATGAATCAGATCATGAAACCTTTGAAGAGTTGTTTGCAAAGATGAGGATTATGAAAGGTACTGGTTCTATATGCATTTTTTAAGTATTGTAGATTGAAATCAAAGCTGTGTTGTTTTTTGTTCACAAATTAAGTTTGATTTAATAGGTCATATAATTTTTCAAGTGCACAGTGGTAGGTGTTATGTGCATGAATCAGGAGACAATTTGGATGGTTGGTTTTTTATGTACATCTTTCTCGGGTATCACAAAACACAATTATGACAGTGCTTTCATTAGAATTTGATTTTTATATCAGAGACAGCAGAGTCGCTTCCAGCAGAGGAGAGAAAATTGTATGCAGAAAAGGTAACTTACAAATGCATTACTTTAATTTGCATTTTGTTTGCCATTAAAGGATTTTTAAGTGTATGAATGCTCAGGTTTATATTAGCGTTAAATCAGTTCTATGAAGTGGCAGTGCTTGAAGCATTTTGTGCAAATATTCAATTTTGTTTCATATTTAGGTCGCTCTTTAGCAAGTCAATATTTTTTGCATCCTGTTTACATGTTGAACTATGCATTTTTAGGTCGCAATATCATTCTGGAAAGCAATAGGTGGGGATGAAGATGAAATTGAAGGACTTGATAGTGATGATGGAGGGGGAATGGACTAAAGCATTATCAGTGGTTAATATATTAATAGCTGTGGCCATTTTTGAATCACTACAGACAAGAAATAGACATACTTGATTTTTCCATTCCTTTTAACACACAATATATATGACATTGAATGCAAATAGTTTTAAGAGAAACAACACAAGATGTTTGTATGTATAATAATATAATCAGTACTTTTTATTTCCTCAGTAAAACATAATAAAAATAAAAAAAATAAAAAATGTAAAACTAATTTAAGCAATTTGAAAAGAAAGGTATCATTGGGCTTAGACTGTCAATGTATTAAATATATGTGATATTTGTACTTTAATTTTTTGTGTGTACCACTTATATTAATGGTATGATACAAATGTGATTGTAAAAGATTCAGATTTTAACAAGTCTGATTTACATAACAAAATAGTATAAGTAAAACATACTCTCATTTACTGTGTAACAAACGATGAATTTCTTAGAATTGTATGGAACTGAGCAATGCATGTATATTAAAGTCCTCTGAATATTAAACAACGACACCTGTTTCAAGGTCTACATTTGTGGTGTCCTTTAAAGTGGCTCTATTTTTATGTTCTGTCTCTTCATTTTCATTGTCTGTTGAAGATTTTGGAATACTAGATTGTATATCATTTATTGCATTTTCATCTTCTTCAAGACTCGCGAGTATCTCCTCTTCTGTCTGTTGGTCTGTCCCAGTCTGTGGCTTTTCCAGTGATGCCTCTTTGTCGTTGACCTCTGTCACAGAATTCTTTTCTTCCACTTGTTGATTTTTCAAAACATCACCACAACTTAATAAAATTTCATTTTCTGTTGGAAAGTCATCATCATCATCTGCCAAGTCTTCAAATGTCTGTGATTTGGTTGGATCAATACTTGTATCAGCATTGTCTTCACTTGCAGGCTTTTGGACACTTTCTGACATGTTAGTGGAGGGGTTTGATTGATTTTCTTCTACATGTTGCTGCTGTTGATCTGATTGTGGTGCTGAATAACAACATAAATTCATAGTTTTATATGTGCCTTTATAGATGAAAATGCAGTATTTGCATGAATTTAATCATCATAAATTTGAATAGATAGCAATCGTATCTCACCCGAGTCCTTGTTCTTCAATTTGCTCATTCTTCTCTCCTTTGCGAGTTGCTTGTTCCTTTCCATTCTAGCAAGCTGTTCACAAGTCATGGACTAGAAACGAGACAACAATGAAATATTGAAAAAATTTTATCAGGTAACATTTGCAAAACGGGCTACAAATAGCAAAAATATTAAAATTAGGTCAATTTGTGTGAAAATAACTAAATCAATGAATATTAAATATAATTAAAAAAAAAACTACCTTTGAAGATGGTGTTGACAGTGGCCTATCATTTTGCCTAACGGGGCTTACTGCTCCATCTGATAAATGTGATGGAGGAGACTCCATTGCAGTCTGCTTCTTTGCTGCTTCTTGCCTCATCATTTCATCAAATGCTTCTTCTGCATCCATGTCTTCCACTTCATCAGCAGCCTACATTGTAAGAAAAGTAAGTGACATGTACAATAGACAAGTATTAAATCAATATTAAATGTTTAAATATAAAATTTATTTTCTATATGATATTTTTGAACCAAATATACAACTTAAAGTAGTGGACCCCTGCCTTCCTACTGCCTATACAGACTAACATTAGCTTTTTACAAATACTTCACAATGAACTGTTTATAGTGAACTGGATACCACCTAAGTCATGGTCTTTAGTTTCTAGTGCTTTGAGTGAATGAATGACTGTACTAAGTCCGCTTTCTTTGAAAGATCGTACAGAAATACATAATAATAATAATAATAATAATAATAAAAGGTAAATTCCTCCTATCACCCCCACATCATGTGACATGAAATCAAATCTCACCTTTTTATTTTTAGAATCGTCTTCATCACCACTATCATAGTTCCTTGACACAAAATCATCATCCATGAGTGGAATGTCACTGCGAATCTTCTTCACACATGTCTGCAAGTAAAAAATGCAATACATTTGCAGAAAAAAATTACTCGTCTCTAAGTATTATCTCTGCAATATCTGAAATATCCAAACTGTTAAAAATCTATGAAAACAGATGGTAATAAACTTTTTTTAGACTACAAAAAAAAAAAAAAAAGTTTCTTGTTTTTAATTGAAATGAAGTGCTTAATAAACACTGAAAAAAAAAAAACTATTTAATTTTATACATTTTTCTAAATTTTAAAGATTACTGATTCTACTTATTAATTTTTATACATCTCACAAACCTGTACTTCCTTTTTAGCCCCAAGTCTTTCACACCTCTCCAGTAGCTCATCAAATGGCATTTTAGGGAATAACCTATGACCCCAGTGCTCTAAAATCTGCATCATTCGGCGCAAATCTTCACCCTGAGGAGAAAATAAATAATATACATTACTTTTTTCACAAACACACCCCAAAAAATTTTAAAACAACAAATGCCAGAATAAAATTTTAAAACAAAAAGTCTTTTTTCATTAGCTTGAAAGAATTACTTTATTTACCAGTTACTTACCTCATGTCCTCTTCCTTTAAATTTGACATCTTTAAATAATTTGGGAAGAAGTGGAATTCCCTTATCACTTGTTAACCTGAAATATGCATAAGACGGTTAATTATGGATTTTTTTTTATCACTCAATGGTTTTATATTTGGTATTGCGAAAATTTCAGCATTTATAATATCTCCTAGGATTTTCATTATATTTCACTTCCATTTTATATGGAATAGAAATTCAAAGTTTTGTGTATGAAAACTCTTTTCATGCCTGGAAATATTATATATATATATATATATATATATATATATATTATGTACTTCTGTTATGATCCAACTTCATGGCAAAAAATTAAAATTACCTGGTTGAATCCATCTTTGGTTGTGGTCTTTTCACCACCCTCTTGGCAGCACCTGCTTTGATGTTTTTCAGTTTAGATAAATCATGGCCATCTTCACCTTTTGAGCAAGTTAAAGAGAAAATATGAGTGCAAATATGCAATTTCATCTTGTGAATTCAAAATGCATGTTCTGCATATGCCATAGGCAGTAAATACAACTAACAACAATATGTGAAATACTGAATGGGGTTTCATGATTGTATATAAGCAAAAAAAAAAAAAAAATCCGTGAAAAAAAAATCTAGTTCAGCAATCTAAGCACATTATCAACCTAAAAATGGGCATTGTTATTTGCAGCTATATTTCAAGAATGTGTGTTAAAGGAAATTAATTTATTATTTTGAAAATTTATTTGATTTATTTTACCTTCTTCNAAGTTATGATGCAAATCCTTCCTTGAGATCTCGTCTCACTTTAGCGGAAGGCTGTGTGAAACAGTTCTGGGAGCAATGGAAGAATCTCTTTGCACACACTCTTGTCCATCAAACCAAGTGGTTTAAAGGGAATTGAGACTTGAAAGTGGGAGATGTTGTTATAGTACCTGATAGCAATGTTCTCAAGGGAGAATATCGTCATGCAAGGGTTACTGAAGTTTTCCCTGGCAATGATGGTCTAGTAAGAAGAGTGAAAGTGTCTTATAAAAATTATAGAGTGGGAGAAAAAGTTCATGAGTACAAGGGTGCTAAGAATATTGAGGTAGAGAGATCTGTTAGAAGATTGGGTTTATTAATTCCTGTTGAGGATATGTAATTGCTCTTAAATACTAATGCAACATTGTATATATATTATATTAGTAAACAAGTCATTAATGATGTTATATAATTATGATTTCTTTATTAGTTCTAGTTTAGTTACAGTATATGAATATATTTCATCAGTAAAAGATTTGTGTGACATTTGAACTTTAAGTTTTATAATTAGTGTCGCAGAGATAAAAATATATAATATATCTCTGTGAGGAGAACCTCCTGATGTTCTGGGATCAACAAAATATTGACAAAAACTGTTCAGTCAAGCAAATGTGAAATGTGGTCACTCAGTCATGTGATGCATGAATACAAAAGACCACACCTACTGAGAGCACACACACACACACACACACACACTGACTTTACTGGAGAAAGCAGGAGGAGGACTTGACTCTTTATAAGATATAGACTCCACAATTTATGTAAGTGTATTTGTTTTAATTTATGAGAATCATTGTTTTATATTATACTTTTGAATATATTATATTATATTGTATTTTTATTTTTTATTTTAGTGACCGGCTATCGTCAATCTGCTATCAGCAATTTTGAATAAACTGAAAATAAAGCCAACCGTGTACATAAAGGAGTTCTATTTCTTTATAACCCAATACAGTAGTTGTAGAGGTATAAATGCTGGTGCAGTAGCAGCCTGAAAGCATTGTTACGGTATGGAGCAAGAAGCAGCAGATCGGATAGTAAGAAAATTTTGGAATTTCGAAGGGCTGACAGAACATCAATTTGAAGCGGTAAGTGCTGCAGTCAGTGGGAAGGACGTGTATGTTGGCATTCCTACAGGAGGTGGGAAAAGGATATGTTTCCAGCAGCCTCCATTTCTAGAAGAGGATGGGGTGGATTATGTAGTAAGCCCTCTGAACGCCCTTATGGAGGACCAGGTAAAGTGCCTTAGTCAATTAAAACAATACCATAAAATGGAGATGAAAATTTATATCAATATTTTAAATAATACCTTTAATGTTTAACATTAATTGCTGTAAACTCTAATATGCATTAGTGAAAAACATTTCATCGCTAGCAGGCAAACACTGTGCAACATGGATACTTCTGGTACTTTAAGAAATACACAATATGTTAATGCTGCAAACTAACCAGTGCTTTCCCTTTTGTCTTTACAATCACCAGATTCATCAATTTGAGCAGATAACGAAGTGCAGGTACAAAGAAAAGAGGATGCTAGAGCCCTCCAGCTGTCAACTGACAAGAGTATTAAATTAGGTATTTTTATTCAATTACTTGCTGTCAATATCTGGTACTGTACCAGATGTATACATGTATTACATGTATACGTGTTGACAATCACTATAACTACTAATATCACAATACTTAAAGTCAACTGTTATGTTTATTTGCATGAGTGTTCCTGTTAATTGCATTTCTAAACACCAGACTTTGACTTCAGTATATTTTAGTCCAGAGATGGCCACCTCTCCAAAAGGCAAGGGACTGTTTAGAAAGCCTGTAGCAGGGAAATCACTGACTTCAGCCCAGAATGACCATCTATCTAGCTAGAGATATCTGTGAATATCTGTAAAAATCAACAGTCGCCCTGGTAGAGGGTAGTGTTGGCCTAAGTCTGTTCAAAGAGTTTAAGGACAGGTTTGTTGGTTTAGGGCCAAAACCATCATAGGAAAAACTTCCTCCACCACTCTGGTCTTTGTATGCTGATGGGAATGAAAAACTTTCAGGGGAAGACCTTGAAAGTGCCTGTGAGAGTGCTAAGGCTAAAGTCAAAGTAAACAATGCTCAAGTAACTTATGTAGAACAAGTGACTAGAGCACAGGCAAATTCTAAAGCCTGGCATGACCAGATGAAAAGTAAAAATGTGTAGGAAGAATAACAGCTTCCATTGCTGAAGACTGTTTGACAACTAATCAAGAATCTCCTGCACCTTCTCCGTTAAAGAAAATTGCCTGTTCTGGGAAAGCAGTGCAGTCGCCAGCAATTTCACGGAGAAATGCCCATGAGGCAGATGCCATTAACCTTTACAAGGGAGTGTATGGTGAAGGGAAAAGGGAAGTATTTCCCAAAGGACAGATATTCACAAGCAGCAGTATCCCCAACATCCACAATTGACAAACAGTGCAATGTCACAGGAGCTGGACTGTTTATTTCTCAAACCAACTCCTGCCTAGGTGCCTCACCAGACAGTATAGTGAGGTGCAACTGCTGTGGTCAGGGGGTTCTAGAGGTGAAGTGCCCCTATAGTCTAAAAGACCAGCCCTTTTTGGAAAAGTTTCTAGACTATTTAGATGAAAATTTGCTAGTGAAACAACATCATAAGTATTAAGCCCAGGCACAATTGCAAATGTACATTTGTGGCATGTCATTATGTGATTTTGTTGTGTGGACCTCATTGAATGATGTGATATTTACTCGAATCAAACACAATGAAACTTTCATGACACATATGGTGGGAAAGTTGGACATGTCCTGGAATAGACATGTGTTGCCTGATCTTGTAACCAGGCGGTTGGATTTGTCCACGTGAAAATACTGCTACAGTAAGTAATGGTGTTGCTACTGTATATTGTGTTAGTCAGTCTCCAGAGGAAGGTGATATGGTGGGTTGTGACCGCTGTGATGAGTGGTTCCACCCAAAATGTATTGGTTTAAAAGCCTGCCAAAATCCAAAACTCGGTGCATGTAGGAAAAGAAATAAGAAAGCCTAATGGGTAAATTACTGGATGTCAGCTAAAGTGGAGAAGGCGTCGTAACTCGTCTATTTCATACCAGCATTGGTCTCTTTAGACGTATATGGACAGATACAGATAGCAAAGCGTCTAGTATAGCATATCGTCTAACTATAAAACGCTTTAATTGATTAAAAAAACATGGAGCATTGCTAAAGTTACTATTTCTACAATAGGAGACGTTAAACATGCATGAAAATAGAGATAATATGTCACTGGCATTTGAGGCATTGAAGTCTGATGATAAAATATACACCCATCATTCTACATGACAAGTTTGCACCGTTCCACATACAGCTGAAGACGGCCATAATAGAGTATCAGACACTTTCAGAAGGGATTAAGGGAGCATCAACAACAAAATAGTTTGAACATTTTGACTGTGCTTGCACTAAAATTGCATAAAACCTACCTCAAGCTCCTAGGCAGTACAAAAATATTGCAATTTTCGCGGGAAATATTTGGCGCATGCCTAACCCGTACACTTCCGCCTTTTCTATTCATCTCCATCCAAGAGTCTCGTTATCAATATTTCGACTAAATCTGTAATATTCTTTATCTTGTGTTCGACTGTCGGAACGATATCTTCGCCACGTATTTTCAGATAAAAACAGAAAAAAAGTCTTATTTATTCACACTAAAGAGGAGTTAAATTTACTTTTATTGTATACTTATCATATATTTTATCAAGAGGATCCACCCGTCTGTAAAATCTATTGGTCTGAAATTTGTGCAGGTTCCACATACATGTATTTCACAGTAATCACTTTTTGAAATATTACACCATTTACTTTATTCACTGAAAGATAATACGAACACGTTTTACAGTTTTGACCTTTTCATTTATTGGTCACAGTTATTGCTTTTTACAACACAAATTCTATGAGTTACATCACACCACAGGCACAAAAGGCAGTGTTCACTGTGCTATTTACAAATGCACCATTATCACGTACTACACCGCAAAGAAAGAAAGGCAAGATGAACTGCAGTGTTAAAACATACTTCATGTCTGAGAATGATCTTAAATTGTTCTTTTAATACTTTACTCATTCTAAAATGAACAACTGTCCTAGAAACTGAATTATGAATACCGCTGCACCATGTTTTAAATTATTTTTGATTTTTTTAAATATAAAGAACAATTCAAAATCATGTCTCAAACTCACTATTTCTGCAGAATTGAATTCAAAAGTCAGTCAAAATGAAAGAAAAATAAAGGAAAGAAAACATTATCTACCAGTCTCTATATCACTTACAACGTGATACAGTCTGCCCATTAAAATGTTTGTATAAAGTTCCTTTGTGTCTTTTTTATTACAAACGTACCAATTCCAAAACATTACTCAAACACACAATATATTCACTTACTAAGTTAAAAATTTGAGAGATATGAAAATTATTTAATACAGAAAAATTGCTTTTTATCATAATATATCATGATACAAACTGCCCTCAGACCATCAATACTGCAGTGGTGATAAAACAAACTTTTCACCTAAAATAATACACACAACTTGAACATCATGTTTTCATTACATATCAGGATAAATAGTTGTGTAACATCATATAAAATATTGCACCAATTACTTTGTCAAGACATTATTATATTTAGTGATAATTAATAAACATGCTGAATAATGCGTTAATAACCACAGTTAATCTCAATGCAAAAATATAAGACCATTTCCCCTCACTACTGGCAGTCACAGTTCAGATTCCAGCTGGTACTTCTTTTCAAAGGACAATGTCACCCACTTTGATTGGAAGCTCCTCAAGAGTAGCATTTTAATATATAAGCGAAATAATGCTTGAAATTCCACAGTGTTATTGCATGTTCATAGCCAAAATGCTTCATTCAATACACATTCATTCCACAGTATCCAACTCCTGATACAGGAAACTTATATCAGAGCAGGAAGTTATCTAGATTTCTAATTCGCTGAACATCTTCCTACACCAGATGACAGAGGCATTGGGAGGTCTGTCGTCTGTCTGGAGGCGGGAGATATCCTTGGGTGTAAGTTTACGGAATGCCAGTTTGTATTCACGGTCAAAGGCATCTGAAATGAATGGGTTTACACAAGTTAGTCAAATAACAAGATTACTATACAGTATTGTTTTTCCCCTTTTCATATCAATGACTGTGAGCAATCAATAAAAAAGAGCAGTCTATCAGATCAAATAAATATTTATGGAAAACATACTTTATGGACTGATATACATTTAACACAACTACTTGTTCAAACAAGGCAGCAAAGCTGTCAAATGTACAGACAAAAAGCAGAAAACAACAATGCACAAAAATAGGCTACTGTCAATTCTGATACAAAAGTAACATTANGCGGTCAAAGGCATCTGAAACAATTAGGTTTACACAAGTTAGTCAAATAACAAGATGACTGTTCAATATTGGTTTTCCCCTTTTTATATTAATCACAGTGAGCAATCTATAAAAAAGAGCTGTCTATGAGATCCAATAAATGTTAATAGAAAACATATTTATGGTCTGATATACATTTTACATAACTACTTGTTCAAAAAACTGTATTTCCCACTAAGACTAGACATAATAAACCATTTATTTCTTACCATGATCAATATTTTCTCTTCCACAGGCAGAAAATGAAAGGAAACATATTTCCCTATACATGCTGCGGTGTTTGTATCTCTTATTCTTATTGCGGCGATGTCTCTCATGAATCACAATCTTGATTGGGCTGAACATATCATTACACTGGATGCTGGTCACAATCTGCTGAAGAATGCTCTTAGAGAAAGCCTGGGACTCAGTCACCAAGGCATTGACTGCAGCAGATGGACTTTCTTTAAATGAAAGAGAGAAGACACTTCATGAAATTTCAAATCCGTCTCCATTTGTATTTATATTAAGCATTATTAAGACATACATTATCAAACCAAATAACTAATGTACTCATGAGAAAAGTAAAATTTCTAATCAATCTTTATAATCAAAGGTGAACTGCTTAGTAAATATAGTCTACTTACTGCTGGTCCATAGTTTGTACATAGGCTGTCCAACCTCGTCATGCAGTCTAATGTTATCCCATTTGAGTCTCACAAGAACAAGTTTATCATCTGCTTGTTGGCTAGATTCCTGAAATAAAATCAAAGATTGTCTTTTGAACAAACTGCAATAAAGAACTTTTTACTTTAGATACTGTTACCATCTTTTGAACAGTGGTCAATTTTTCATTAAGATACAAACAAGAAAGACTTGTTCTTTAAGTCATGCTTATGTTCCTCAAAAGTACAGTACACATTTTTTACTTACTTTTTCCTTGTTAATGCTCTTAGCTGTCATAATGTAGCCTGGCATGTGACTGGGAACATCTAACCGCTTGAAATACCACACCTACATAACATAATAAAACTTATAATCAGGACTTCAATGAAAACATATAAAAGACATGGCACTCCAAATACATTCCGATTTCTGTTTAATACATATACATTCAAATAAAAAAAGTCGTTCAATATCACAGTGTCAAATTGGAAGCTGATAAAAGAAAACCTTATACTTCTAATATTTTTACTTCAATCCTATTTTGTGTATAGAAATTGCATTCATACCATATTCCAAAAGATAATAGGATGTTCATCAAGGAACTCATCCCTAGATAGAGACAGGTCTCCTTCACTGCCAAGAACATTTTCCAGTTCTTTTCTCAGGACAAGTGGACTGAGATATGGGACTCTAATTGGCTCCTCCTCTGGTTTACTGCAAAGAAAAACAATTATTATATCAATCTTAGGTCACTTATCAAATTCTATTGTATCTGTCAATGGAGCATATTTTTCTACCATAGACAATGAAAAAATCATTACTCTTGAGAAAGTCACGTAGCCTTATGCTCTGATAATAGCCAATTTGATCTTTTGTATTCATAGTCACAATAACATTTTATGGAAGGACAATAAAACTACCTTTCCATGTTCTCCCCTTCAGATATATCACTATCATGTCTCTCCTGTTCCTCGTCAATTGAATCACTAACAGTCGAGTTGGAAGGAGATAAAGCCATATGGCGCTCTGTAGTCGCAGTGTGACACTCACTGGTACAGCGCCTACGTCCCCCTGGAGCTTGATGGTGAATACACATTGGCCCCACAGTCGTAGATGTTGGACTCATGTTAATTTCATCCGAAACTTGCTTAGTTGCCTTAAGGTGAAAGTTTAATCTGCTTGGGATAAGCTGCCTGGGGCTGTTCATGAAGGACGAGGGAGGGCTATCCACTGTTTTGTCATCATAGAGCAAAATGTCATTTAAGTCCGAGACTGAGGAGGACACGCTTGCATTGCTGGTGGGAAGTTCTGAGCCTTCTCCTCCACGTTCACTTCTGCTATTAGCATTAGGCACCGACTGGACACTTCTCATGCTTTCCACCGACTTGCTGAGAGATTTCAATTTTGACGCTGTATCATGACCCTTGTAGTTCTAAATAAATAAATAAATAAATAAATAAATCCTTATATCATAACCCCTGAAGTGCATCATTTCAAGTCTTGTTTCTTTTTCTCCATATAAAATTGTTAAAATGTTGCAATCAAATTTATGAGAATAGCAAGGAACTTATTAAAATTTAAAACTGTACTATAACTCTATGCATATACATTCTATTTTACCTTAACATATATGTTTAAGAAAGGCACAAAGTTTGCTCCACAAAACTGGCAAGTGGTGTTCAAATTGGAGTCATCTGCACTCCACCCAGCCATGATCTGTTCATCGTACAGCAGCGACTTGCAGCCATTGCAACGGCAGCAGCTGCTCATTTCCACTTCCATGGCTACATTGGCAATTATATGCGACAGACTCTGTGTGGAGCTGAACTTTGAAGAGGCATCGAAGTTGTTTGCTGGAATGTACTGCTCAAGGTAGGATCTGCTGCTTGGAGCACTTCCTGGAAGGTGTGGGAAAATATATTTTAGCTAAAATTCTGTACACTTTCAGTGCAGTAATTTTCTTTGATAAATATGCCTGAGGCAAAGTTTCAGGTTTATTCATTAAAACTGGAAATTTATATTGCTTTAACTTTGTATACCATTTCTGAAATATACTTGTACTTGCATTCAGATAGGTAGGACATTTCCCAGTTCTATCGGAACTCAAGCCATTGACCAACCTCACGAAATATATACTCACCAAACTGAGAAAACATAGCTTGCTGCCTGTTCACTGCAGCCCTGCGCAAGTCTTCAGCACCATATTTGTCCTTGTCTCTAGAAACCTGTTCTGATCCCTTGTTCAAAGAATCTGTACTGGCTTGCATTTTAGACGTCTTCAATCCATCTTGGTAGTCTGAAGCAAGACTATCCTGTGATTTGCGTAGTGAATTCATACTGCCAGAGCTTGTAAGACCAGACCCTGTCTGCAGAGAGGAAGTAGGGGTCCCCATATTCTGCTTCCATTCATTTAATTTATCACTCATAGCATTAGAGGCATGTTTAGCAATGTTCTGTGCAGAACTTATCAGTTTCCTGAAAGATCCTGCTCGAGCAAACCTACTAAAACTGCTGCTGGGGGATTTTTCCTGCAGGCTGCCATTACTTGATGCTGGGGACAAAGTATCACCGGTCCGTACTCCAAATGTCATGCTTTTACTGCGGGATATGCACTCCTTGTCATTCCGGGGGGTGCCATCCAATTCCCAATCTGGGTTCTTGTCCATGAAGCGTTTCAGGGACAAACTTTTGAAGTTCTGCTTCCTTGAACTGGATTGTTCACTATCTTGTGTGCTATTGCTGTCCGTGCTGGTCCGAGACTGGGTCTCCGGATCTACTGCTTTGCGTGCGTTGTCTGCCTCATTTTCAGCTATTGTGAACATCCTATTGTCCCGAGGAGGCTTAGAAAATGGCTCCACGTCTATTAAAGGTCCACTTGAGCAAATAGGTTTGGATTGGTCTGCAATACCAGCTTTTTGCAATTCGCTAAAAACTTCACCTTTCTGTGTTCCTGCAGTAGAATCTACAGATGCAGAAAGAAAAGCTCCAAGAGGGTCATTTTCAGTCACAGGAGTTGGAATTTTTTCCACTTTTCCAATTGTAGGCGATGAAGGCTTATTATTTTCAGGAGTTGGTGTTTTTTGTTCATCAATTTCTTCCTCAGATATGAAAACCTGGTCCTCACTTAACAAAGAAACATCATGATGAGAATCAGAGTTAGGCTCTTCATCTTCTTTGTTATTTGACTGTACACAATCTGTTGAGCTCGTACTGTCTATGTCAACAAGCAATTCGTTTGACTGGCTCTTTCCTTTTAAACTGTCATACAACAAGTCTTCTCTGCTACTAGAAAACACATCATCCCTTGGAGACAAAAGGTCTTCTTTACTACCAGCATCTGTGTTTCTGTCCCTATTTCTTTTCCTGTGCTTATCTTTCCCATTTTTGAAATAATCCATGAAACCTTTAGTACCTGAAGAGAGGCTCTTTGATCTTTCTTTAGTAGGATCTTTTTCCAAATGATCTGGGTTTTTCTCAAACACATCATTCTCAAAGAGAGGGTCATTTTCTATATTGTACTTTGAATTAAGCCAGAGTAGTCCTCCGGGTTCTCCACTGCGATGCCTAGGTCTCCAGCTACTGAAACTGTTCAAAACTTTCTGAGCATAATTTGGCATGCTATGGTGCCTCTTCCTCCTGCTGTCTTTCACTTCATTGTCCCCACTTAAGCTGTTGTTCAAGTCAATATCCAGAACAAGGGCTTCATCACTGCGGATAGACGTCCGACTGGCTGTGATCAGAAGACCAGCAGAACTGCCCACTAAAAACAAGAAGAGACATTACTTATCATCAAATCAAAATGTATCAGTATATTCAAAAATATTCAGAACTATATCCATGTTAGACAAGTCTTTTTAAGAAAAAAAGTTTAGCAGAAAAAAAGAATTTCATCTATAAGCTTACAGGATCTCCCGCAAATCAAAAAGAAAATATCTTAAAACCTATTTCCTATTTTTGCACAATGATGCTATTGTCTTAAGGGAGTTCAAACTCACATGTGCTTCCTTGTAATGTCCCCATGCTGCTATTGCTTCCAAAACTGCTAACAGAGTTTCTCACTATGCTGCCAACTCTAGCCCTAAACTCTTCAGCTACCGGGTCTATCTGGAGAGTCACATGGCGATCTCCATTTTTAGAAAGGCCTAAAAGGAAGAAATCATCATTTAGATATTTCATTTTTCAACCATAGCATAATGAAACAAATACCTTTTTGAGCACAAGAAAAAGTATAGAACTTGCTACAAACTTGAAATGTTAAGACCAAGTACACAAACTTGAAATGTTAAGACCAAGTACCTCTTTGTCCTCTCTTTGATCTCTGATTCTTGGACCTTGGCGTGGAGCACTTGTCCACAGAGTCGGTCTCCTGTTCGTCCTGTTCCCCTATCCTGTCCATAGACCCAGTGCTGATGGCTACAGAGATGTTTTTGGCATCCTCCAATGTCATAGAACTGTAACCTTTGTCTGACAAAGCACCTTTGGAAACAAAAAGATAATTTAAATTCCAATAAGCAGGTTTAATCATACAATTAAGTGGTCATATCTGTATGTTGAAGACAAAGTCAAGTGTCAATTTTCCATTCTGGAAATGATCTACTACATATACAGAAACAACCTTGCATCAAGTTCAAATATACTTTAAAAATTGTGCCAGAGACTTTATATCATGTTCAATACATAAAAACTTTTTGAATTGACACAAATAATATTCATAGTAATTCAAATTCATTTCAAATACCTGTACTTTGCTTTTCTTCAGGGCCATCAAACTTCACCAAATCTTCAAACTGTTCAGGTGCTTTCTTAGCTGCTGGCTCTGCTTTCTCAGGCAAGGGCTGCACATCATCCAAAATGCTATCAAGACTGGCTCTGCTGAGTCGATCATACTCACTGTCCGAGTTCATAGAAGAAATAGACATACTGCGTCTCCGCAAGCCTTTTCGCAACTGGGCGATGGCCATGACAACATTGCGTAGCTTGTTCCACATGATGTATGCAGTGGATGCTGCAGCTGGCCATTTGCTCTCAAGGACAGCCTAAAACAGGAAGAAGTTCACTTTAGACAAGGTCTTATTTATCCAAGTTATGCAACCTATGGTTACACACAGATTTAAATAACACCACCACCAAATTTTTAATTTCTTGAAGTAATTACATCTCTTTCCACCCTGCCTCCTACAGCTGTCTAATCCAACAATTTTGCTCATTGTGCGGACCTCTTAACTCTGCACCCACATAAGTGGAAGAGGAAGGGGGAAGGTGTGCTTATATTGCCTAAACTTAAACTAAACCATTTCTTGAAGTTATGACTCAACTGCTTTTTCATAACTAGTTAACCTGACACTGTCTTTATTTCAAATTTGAACCATTTCTATCGTATCGCTGTGCAAGCACAACCTACCTTGTTGTAATACCCATACGTGACAGCATTTGGCTGGATTCCACAGCGCTTCATTTGAAACAGCACTCTAACAGCAAGCACTGGCTGGTGGTACTGACCACAAAGCTGCATCATCACACGGTAACACACCTGGATTTGTATAGGGAAATAATTTTCAAAAATGAAGTATTTACTATTATTAAGAATTATCATATAGCAACATTTTTACAAGCTAATAACACTGAGATACTTTCTATACTATTAACATACTATCTATTAAAAATATCTAAATGGCTTTTGTTTTAAAACCCTGCATCGGAATCCTACTTGTAGCCTAAATGCTCTTCATAGGCCCTATTACAGGGGCTCATTGACATAGCATTTTTAACAAGCGACACAGCTCCGGAAGATCTGAGAGCCAATATCAACACATGCCTCATCAGGAGGTTGTAGTCTGGCTGTCTGCATCTTAATGAGCACATTGTATGCTATCCTGAGAGCTCTGTTCTTGGTTGGGGTGACATGGACATAGGCTGGCAGGTGGATGAACCACAGGCTGTAGGTGTGTGCCAGGAGACACTTGGCCCACAACACTGGCGTCTCAGCATGCTTCTGTGCGGTCTAAATATGATGAAGAACATTGCAGTAAGCACGGATATAAGTTAACACAAGCGAGATATTGAGACATTTTTTGAAAAAAAATCTAATTACAAAAAAAAAAAAATTATAAAAATGATTTTAATATATATGTTATAAGCTTTATCTACCTAGACATGATTAATAATTTACAATTTGCTCCAACAGAAAATTCATTATTGCTCTTTTTAGCTGATGCATGTTAGTTGATTAAGATTTGCTGTGAAAATGGTGTGATGAGCTATAGTGCATTTTTACATGATTTATAACCTACCTTCTGTGCTGACTTTATCTCATAGTTGGATCTCCTCGCCATAGGCCCATTAGGACAGGGCCCCTGTTTGCTGGGGGTCTTGAAGGTGTTGTTATCCTGTTTTAAAAACAATTCCTCCTTCAATTCAGGGAATCCTTTGTATCTGAAATGAACAAAATGGATTAAGATGATGCTCAATAAATTTGGTGTGGTACTTCAGGGAATATCCAGCTTAGCACATAATGACAATAGACCAAATGACTACTTATGCTCAGGACTTGAATAAAATTTGGCTCACAAACAACAGAATATTAATTGATTTACTTACCGAAAACTACTTCCCTCTGGGAAGTCTGCGGGGTCAGGAGGCGTGATCACAACAGTTCTCTCACTAGAGAAAACAAAAAGATGTCATATTATAAGCAAAACCCAGTGTATTCAGATTTTTCACAACCTAGTGCAACCAGATTTAGGAAAACACTCTTCAAGCAGGAAAAGTGATAGCCTTTTAAATATATGGCTGTAACTCTATTCTGGAAATATCTCTTTGTTGATAACAAATTTGTAAAATCTAGTAATGAACTTTCTGTGTTGGTATTGCATAAAAGGTTTATTTGACATAAAATGTCATTTGCCAAACTTACCTCTTCTGTGAATCGTCGATTTCAATTAGTCTTGGTTCATCTTTGTTTTCATCCACCTAGTAAACAAGTTGATGAGATCAATGCAAGTATTTTTCACATAAATAATAGCTTGTCTGGCTCCTGGCTTTGTTATTGATATCATCTTAGTGTTTATTGTAAAGAAAACAGAGATTTATGGATTGCTCCACAGAAATAACTGCCATTATCATTTTTAAGCTATACATCTCAGCATGGCACAATGATAGTCAACAGTTTAAACTTAGAAATTACATATTTCCATCCTTTTTTCATGTTTTTCTTTCTCCCAAATACATGTAATACATAATGCAAAATACCTTTTCTGTGCACTCATCAAAGAAGACCAAGTTTGAATTCTTTTCAGAAGTAAATGATCTTTCTTCAATGAACCTGCAGAAATTCTGGGTCTTCATCATCTGTGTGAAGAATTTTTGGTAGGCTCTATCCCGGCTTTTCAAAAATCCTTTAAGAAATTTGAAATATATTCCATTTAAATATCATCAGATATAATAGAAGATGCATGTGATTGTGTTTAGAAATATTAACTGCACAATTAAGAATGATGTAAGCCACTAGATGGAAAAAAACAACCTGTAACTTATGTTACGTGAATCAGAAATTGTAGCACATACAAAGATTTGCTAATATTGAAATAGGACTACATTGCATCCATGATTTAACCTTGAGCTTACCTGACATATCGAAAAGAGAGGAGGCATCAGTTGTCCTGTCATTTGGTGCCTTGGTAATTGGTTTGAGGTAGTTCTTGTAGCCTTTCAGTATAGATGCCATAAAACGCAAAAATGCTTCCTGGATGGCAGTCTCCATACGTTGCTAAAATGTTATAAAATTTTCAGCAGTTAAATTTCCCTGGTCTGATCTTAAATTTCATATACATTTTTATTTAAGGTAGCCCAAATTTTCATATTCACCTCTTTCTTCTTCTTCTTGAAATCAGAATCAAGCAAGCTCATCTGGCCAACATCGGTAGCTGGGGATTGAGTTTGCAGCTGTTCACATAAATGCATCAGTGTGTTTCTCAATACACGTACTGGCTTCTGCAAGTAAATTGAAAAGCATTTCAAAGCATGTTCTCACTACACTGCTGACTGTATGAATATCCTTATCATTAAGTAAATATTTATACTAAATCATCTGACCCCCCCCCCCCCAAACACACACACAAGAAAAAAAAAAAAAACAGTGTATTTACCTTTGGCAAAATCTTGTAGTTCATAGATTTTTTGTCTTCAGACCTAAAATGAAATTAAAGTGACATTCATTAATTATCAATTATCATCCAGATGCTCCAAGCAAGAAAATTAATATTACAGTTTATCTAATCATTACAAGAAGTTCTTCACACAATTATTTTTTCTGACAATAACAGCAAGCTTTGAATGATGTGGGACACTACTTACTGTGAGATTGTGTTTGTATCTAAATCTACACATGTCACATCTGGAGGTGGGTCATACAGGTCAAAATACCTGGAGTCCACACCTAAAAAGAAAGTAATGATCAAAGGTTATACACAAAATCCTGGCATCTTTTGTAATCAATTAAGTTCATTCTCGAGGAGGTAGCAAAAAAAAAATCTATGCCCATCTGTTTTATCTTTTACACTGAAAAACGTGTGCACTATTTGTGTGAGAGAGAGAGAGCATGCACGTACATGTGCATGTGCTATGAGCAGAACCTACCGACTATGAAAGGAGTGGGGGCACTGAGCACTTCTGAGAAGCCCAAAGGACATAATGGAATGTATGGACATTGCCACTGGAAGGGGAAGATCAACTGAAAGAAAATAAATTCAATGAATTATTGGTCAAAATATTTTGAGCCTACGTTCAGATAATAGGAGCAAAAATGAATATCTAATATCTTCTATATTCTCACCAATATCTGACTACAGACCAATCAAGTTTTTTTTCTTGATTTGTTTTCTTCATTCTTTAATTAGGGCAGGGGAAACTCGGGTCATAGACTAAAGACTAATCACATACTAATGATTCTGTCTCTTTCTGTGATCCGCATGAAAAACAGCCCATTAAAATTTATAACTGGAAAGAACAGTTCATCAGTTTTACCGTCACCACAGCTTCAGCCACACTGGTGAGAACTGCAGGCCTGAGAGAGTGAATCACTATCTTATGTTCCAGCAATGAGAACAGGAGAACGTTCATGCAGTTGTCAGGTCCAAGGTTTTTGAGAAGGGTAGAAAAAGAAGCACCACTGAAATATTTCAAAAGAAAAAGTAAAAATTAACATTTTGACTCTTTAAAATTTTTCAGACTGATTAAGTAAAAAATAGTTATTTGTCACTTCCCGTTGATGAAATTTTGCTTGGTTTTGTAAATCTTTTACTCTAATACTAGAAAAAAATTTCAAAAAGATAATAAAATTGTAAAAATATTATTTCATATTATTCAAACAAGTGTCAAATCCCCTACCTTTGACGCAAAGGTGTATCCTCAGGTTGTGATAACGATATCAGATCACTGCCCAACTGAAATACAAATGAAAAGTTAAATATGAGCATTTTTTTTCATTATCTTTAAATATATTATATCCAGCTGAATAAAATGGAAACCTCTTTCAAATCACTGATTAAACATATGTGCTCTGTCATATCATGAGCTAGAGATTAGTCAGAATGCTTTTGTCAAAGTTAATAACCAACGAAATAATGTCTTACCTGCAGTAGAATTCTAGGCCTTGAGGGAGAGGGGAATGGTACATCCCACATAAAATGGGAAATATACCTAGAAATGAAATACAAGTCAAATTTTAGCAAGTGTCAATAACACTTCTGAGAGAGAGAGAAAAAATAGTCAGCATGTGCAGTAAAAAAGGAGGTGCACTTCCCTGGCCAAATAATCAATCCGCCATCTGCTTGACAAACTTTGTGGACTGACACAGGCTAAAAATGTGATTTATGTTATCTGCAAAGGTGTATAACTTCCAGTTAGTAACAATAAGACCACACTGACCTTTCTATTGGCACTGGACTCTCAATTCCATTCAACGTCATCTTGAAAAGCACTGTTAAAAACCTTTTGAAGGTATCAAAGAATGGCCAGTGAGACAAGAGGCAAATGGACTTGTTGGCGTGGACCAACATTTTGGGTTGACTATTATGCTCTTCTAATAAACCTAAATTTCTTCTCTGTTCCGATGTAAGTTTTTCCTCATTGTAGGTTTCGTAAAATGTGACAGCAGCACCATAAACCTGGAAAGAAAAGTTTAGTGAATGATCAGACAAAACGGTAGAAATTGGTCTGCAGTAAAGATAGATAGATTTGGAAAGGATTGATGAACTGAAACGATTGCAGGATGAACAAGTGGAAATTTGCACTTGGAACCAATAAAATTTAATAACACTGTGCACTTTAAAGTGCTAATTTACATCTCTGAATTGAAGATCTAATGGCTTCAATGTCACCCCTCAATGGATGTCCATTAAATTACAAAAGGATAAACTGCAATATCAGTTTAAGTTCAAAGAAATGTAATTTCGTGCTGGATATGCAAAATGAATATAACTCCAACAAATTGGAACTGGGACAGTAATGATAACAATCTTCCTCACCTTATCCCACCTATCTCCAGTGAGGACAAAGGTAGAGAACACAGGTTTGGGTCTGTGGGCCTTGGCTGGCCAACACTCTATCATAGCACCCATAGGCATACAAAACAGGGGTACAGATGCTGGGAGAGGGAATTCCTCAGAGTCAACTGCTGGGTATCTGTAAACTATACCTGAAAATAAAAGAAGCAGTAACAGCACTTCACTTACTCTCCATTAACTGTGATTGTGTAGCTGCTATATACTATGCTTCCTTCAACATGTATCCATGTAAAAGGAATGTTAGAATTAGACAACAAGCAAACTTAGATTACATTCAGATTCACACATCGTACCAGCTAGATCGCTCCAAATCTGTCGGGGATTCTCCCTAAAGTGCATTTAGTGTAATCAACTTATTGTCTGCCATGCCTCCTTGAGCTGCTAGGGGTGATTAGTTTATTACATTGATTGCGCTTAGGGAGACTCTCCCGCAGAGTTGGATCGATCCAGCTACTAGGTTTATCTGAACGCTCCCTAGGCGTATATGATTAAAAACACAGGCAACCAGACATGCTTGAAAATAAAAACCAGGTAACATGACAGATAAACTGAAAACCATTATAGAAAGAAAGAAAACTGATATCATTCAGTGAGAAACTTAATGAGAAAAGAGTAGTTGCTGGTGTGATAACTCCTTTTCACGTGACATCCTCTCTAGATCAGGTTGTGAAATAGGAGCTGATCAGTTGTGAAAATGACAGTAATTACTCTGTGACGTGATGACAATCAGTGCAACGTTTCTGATCATTTATTTCCTTTTCAAAGATGAAGTGTCTTGGGTGATTTATGAACTGAATATGAGCCATAAAAACACATTTCATAATGCAACATTTATAATCTCAATTATCAAACTCAACTTCGCCTCTCAAAAACAACTTCACAATAAAAAATATCACATGAATCATTATCTTTGTACTTTCAATGTTTCATTCACTTTCATATTCTATGACATGCGTTCCTCTATTATACATGTATTCAACTATGTAGGTTATTTACGAATGCTGTAAGAATGGCATTTTCAAGTCATCCAATGAATATTAATCACAGAGCTTGTTTTATTGGGATAAAAAAACTAAGCCTTATATGCATTATACAAGCTGATTTCATCTTTAAGGCATGGCCCATTTGTTTTATTCAACTTAAAACCTTAAAATATTAATCTCCTAGTGGTTCTTCTTACAACAAATGTATAATTGAAGCATTCCAGGCATGTCCAACTGATGGCAAGATTTCATGCCAAAACCAATTACTTTCAGAATGTTTTGCTGAGATATACTGCCCTGGTAATGTCCACTACAGCATTCACTTCTTTTACTCTACATATTAACGCAGACTTGTTTACAAAATATGCCAGACAGGACACTCCACCCTTGCAGAGACTGCATACACCAATTAGGTATTTTAATATACCCCAAAGCATGACCATGACCTTATTCTGCAAAACAGTATTTTTTTTCATGGGGGCATCAACATATGAATCTGACTATCATTTCAATACATTCCTGGTGCTGAATTTAACATGGCATATATATTTAACGAGGAGCAAGACACAAGCTATGTTGATTTATACAAATGGCAACAGCTGGTGTTGCACTGGCAGTCACTTGAGATTCCTTTGTCATTACATAACAGCCATAACTCACCAACTACTCATTTTCTACTGGAAGAATTTCCTTGGGCACAACTGATCCTATAATAATAATAATGTATGGGTTTGGCAGCAATAGGTATCTTACCTGGCTTGTATGCTAGCACATTGGTTTTGGTCATGGACTTCTTATAACATAAATATACATCAGATCCCACCATTCCCTTATTGAGGGTCTTTGGGATTTGGCAGAAGGCATGAGGGGCCACCTCCCCCTGGAATTTCAAATTGGAAGAGAATAATATATTTGCCGTTACCTATCAAGATAATGAATACCAAACAGTTTAATTTCAAGGAGGCATACATAAAATCAAGTCATCTAAGTAAAAATAAAAACAAAATTTAAATTGTTAAAGATTGAATAACAGACAAAACAATTATGGCTACACCAATGATAAGTCTGTTTAACTTAGAATTACATTTCACCAGGGGAGACAGACAAAACATATCTATAAAATACTTCTCAATGAGAGACATGCTGGTTGACACTTATCACAAAAGCACACATTAACCTTCATTCAACTCTTGATACTATTCAGAAAACCAGTGAGAGTTGTTCAAGTGTCCTGACTTTAGAGCGACAATCTCAAAGCACACACAGCAGGTTACTACTAAATTGTGCAGAGCATCTATGAATGGATCTCTTAACAAAATGAGGTAAAAATACTTCCTCTATTGTGTAGTTACCTTGTTTGTGAGTATAATACAGACATCAGTGACTGCCAGTGTGTCACTGGGTGCGTTCTCCGAGGCTCGGCGATACGTGATGTAGGTACGACTACTGTTACTGTTGTTGACATTGGCAGGCCTTCCGTATGGTGTCAGGTGCATCACCTCACATCCAGGTAACACACGCTCTTTCCCCTCATACAAAACACTGAAATAATATTATAGTATACATTGACAAATGATTAAACATGTGCCCTTGCCTGATAACAATGTAAAAAATAATATACAAAGGCCAGATGTTCCTCGCCTAATTTTCACTTAAATAGCCATTATGTTAAAATTTCCAAAAAACAAACAGATGTTGTTGGGATGTAAATATTTAGAGAGTTTAATGCATGATTATCCAGGAGTTACTACCTTATTCACTTCAAAACCATTTACAAAAATACATCGATAACTTCAGAAAGCATGGACAAAGGCAGTCCATTAGTGAATTAGAGATTAAGCCAAAATAAACTTTGATAACTCTCTGAGGCCAATTTTCATTCATGTCCAAAGGCAAGGTAAGGACATACAATGGAGCCTAGAGTGCAAATGAGCCATTTAAAAGAACTTTGATTTATTATACTTCAGTTCATCATTTGTTTATCTCCACCTCCCTCAGTCAAATCAGTGAGTGTCCTTGAGTTGAAAAAATTTTTTTAAGTTTCCTGAGCTGCCATTGTGCCAAGGATACGGAATGGCTTATATGTGATGTATATCAGGTCACATGCTGGCCCTAAATATCTATTATCCAAAGTTATGTTTGGAGCAAACCATGAGTTGGTGAATCATAATGTCAAAATAACTGGTCCCATTTGTATCCGGTCTATGAGCACATAAAAAGCACTGATCGCTGTTATTCTGTAAAAACAGATGTCACTGGATCATCATTATGTATAAAAAAAAAACTGATCATCTGAATTGTTTTTAAGCATATAATTTTAACCAGTTTAACGTCTGTTATTACTGAATTCCCACATTAACTTCAATTGATGCACACAATTTGCCAAAGATCATAATATCAAGTAAATTATTGAGATGCACACTGAAATGTTTTAATGAAGTTTCAGCTTCATAATGGTTATCACATAACTAAATCTTCCTCAGAATTCAATCATAATATGCAAAGCTCTAAAACCCATGCTGACATGTACAACACAATCCATTAATCAAAAACAACAGACTGAGATATCTGCCTTAGAATTATCTCAATGAAATAATAGAGGCCAATTAATCTCAATAAAATGAACACGTGCACCCATAAATTTTCTTTCATCTCTCCAAAACAGGCTTATCAGAACAACATGTTATCTATACCAAGGTCTTCTGATACTGAAGACGACACACTGTCATTTGCTCCACATATGCCATAACACTCACCCAATGTCCGTGATTGGAGGTTTATCTCGCCCTCGCTGTATGCAAATATAAACTTCAGGACTGCGCAAACTCCCATGATTCAAATCTGCTGGAAATCCCGTAGGGGTTTTTTCAATACATGTAAATCCATCTGGACACTGTTCCCCAAGGCTTTTCACTATTACTGCTATGTCTGTTATGGGTTCAGGCTTGTGATTTGGCTTCAGAATGGCCTCATTTGAAAATTCGTCCAGTGGCAAGATTTGATCGGTCAGTCCTGCTACCACAAAGTAGTCTGCCACTCGCTTCTCATCCATGAAGACCAATTACCTTGTCAGCTGAAAAGATAGGAAATTAAAATGAACATATTATTGATCAACTACAGGCAACACAATTTGTAGGAAATGTAAAGTAGGATGATGTATTAATACGTGTTGCTTAAATCTCCAGTATGAAATGGAGAACATATGAAATTCAAGGAAAACATCTGCGTCATGTTACAAAATATCAAATCATTACACCATGCATTAATCTATGCATGTTTTAAATATACTGTGAAATGTGGCTGCGCATACCCTTTCCAGGTAAAGGACACAAAGGAAATTAGATGACTACTTATTAGATTTCACAACTTAATGATAAATCATCTCAATTAGATCTGTCAATATCCAAGGGACTTTTTTTTTTACATAAATTACACGCAAGTACGAGGACAAATTCAGGCACAATCAATGCACGGCAGTCATTACCATGAATGTAAAAAAAAAAAAAAACTACTGAAACCCAAGTCAATACAAACATATATCAGCTCAAAACTGTTCTAGAAGCTTTTAAAACAATTATGACCTACATATAACTAGCAATAATACCTCGTACCACCTACACCAGATACCTGTAACAGGATTCCATCGTGTGCAATATTCTATCATAACAGTCATTAAGCACTGTCTGGGCATGTGGGATAACACTTGACAATCTACTTGTCCTGTAGAGTAGGCTTATGAAATTACTGCCTAATAACAAAGTACTTACTCAATTTACTTACATGACTTCTGAAACCTCATTAAAACAAGATGCTCTTTATTGCAATTTATCCTCAACTGTAAATGTGTTGCTGTATGTCTCAAGATTGACAAATATTCCCAAACATTTTGCTGATGGAATTTTGTTTACTTTTATCTATTTATGTATTAAAACAGAGAATAGACTCAACTTCCTTCTTGCCAAAGTACTCTTAATTATTATAACATAAGTCTAAATTGCATCAATACATACCAGTATTGTCTTTTCATGTAAAATGTAAGATAATATACAAACTCATCTGGCTCTAGAACCTACTTGCTGTGCACTTACCTTTTGTATAATCAACTTAATTTCATTGGTGAGATTCTAACACAGGAGAAAAGGAAAGAAACCAAACGCAAAGCCATCCTCTTGAATTAAAAAAAAAATCCACCAGCCAATGAGCTACGTTTAAAAACCATAACATGTATGATGATATGAGAAATAGGGACATTACCTGTCTATCCATTTACCACAGTTTCTGTATATTAATAATGTACAAGAGAGATGTGTGAACCTGTGGAAAATCAATAGGAAGTGCATTCCTTGGTCTTTCTCCAGATCCTTGTCTGCACTGCCTGCTGCTTGGCATACTACAGCAGAACCATTACAAGCACACTAAAAGACAGAAATACACCCAGCGGGGGGGGGGGAAGGTCAGACCAGGAATGAGGGTTAAGAAGATATATACTATGTAGTCCTCCTCTCTTTTTTCCAAAGGCCACCATCTGAGTTATGGCACATCCACCAGAGGTTGCTTTGATACTGCATATTATAAGCACTGTACTTACTGAGGCATCTTGATGTGGAGTATTTATAATTGGCGCAGGACAGAAGTTACATTACTTTTCTTGCCCGTCCACATATTTTCTCAGACTCACATACCAAGTAATATGACAGAGAGCCTGACAGTTCAAGTTTGTCAGATTATAGGTTTTTCAATTATCGTGCAGAGGAAAGAAAAAACACTTTCCCAGCAGAAGCAAATATCAACTCTCATAATGAAAAGTAGACACTTTCTATCAAAAGAAAAACCATATTATCAATTCACACTATAAGGGTGAACTATGGGTCAACTATTGTATTCTTTAAGGCAAGTTTACATCCCACTTATGGCACTGTCCAAGCAAAGTGGGTGATTGGAATTTCTCAGACATGAGCCTAGGACCCCATTCCCATAGATTTTAGATCGATCTATCCCTGTGGGTAGTCTCACTAGATTACTGTCAGCTTAGCCGGCTTAAGTGTCTGTCCTGCCTACTAAAAGCTGTAAGGGGGTAATTAACTATGGTGCGCGCTCGGCTGACTGCAATTTAGCGTGAACCCCCAGGGAGTTAGGTCGATCTAAATCTAAATCTCTGGATTGATCTAAATCTCTGGGAATGCACCCTAGGTTTAAAAAAAACTAAACATTTATCAAAACCCCAGACAAGACTTATCTCAGGAACCATCAGAATTGAATTAAAAAACGAGGAATTCTGTAAGGAATTCTGCGTTTCTGCGGAAAAAGCTCAAGTCTCTTTTCTAAACATCTTTACCACTGACACTGCACTGGACTTCATTCAATTTTGAATAAGATGTAGGCAAGACGGATTTGCTCCGCATCCAATATGGTTAGAAAGAGAAATGACAAACACTGCAAATGCGCCTTTAGAATTAATCTGCAACCTATTCTGCCACCTCTTCACTTTCCAATTAATGTTATATTCCTTGTAGACGTGCATAAACCCTAATCATTACAGTATCACGTACTAGTGTGTCCATAGTGAGAAGGTCGACTTCCCTTCATAAACACTGGCTGATGGAATTGACAAGACATGCAGTAGCCACTGAGTGGAACATTGTGTATCTAAAGCCATCATATTGAATATAGAGGCTTTGTATACTAATTACTAGGCATATGAATGTATTTGAAAAATCTTGCATTGCACTCCACTCCCAAAAGAAGTTGACCAATTTTTGACAGGGCAGGGTATGAAAAAAACTTATCACATTATCTCCACATGCTGTATTCCCACTGCACCTCAAACTTGTTATTGTCTGTGGTATTTATGTAATTCTTTGTTTTGAACTATGATAAAGCTATAAACCAGAGCTTTTATTGCGATGCCATTCTGAAATAGAATATATTGACAACTGCAATGCCCTCTGTGGACTGTACCAATCAGTAACAAATTCATATTCAGCCAATCTGTCAAAGGACAACACAACTCAATTGAAAGAAGTACGTATATTTTTTGGTTTTAGTGGTCTTAGGCTCTATCCCCATAGATTTTAGATCGATCTATCCCCGCGGGGAGTCTCACTAGATTACTTTCAGATAATCCGACTTAAATGTCCGTCCCGCCTACTACAAGCTGTAAAAGGGTAATTAACTTTCGTGTCCGTCCGGAATATGGTACCATGCCCTTTTTTTTCTAATTAAAAGTAAAACCTTCAACAATTTTTGTTCATGCAATGTAAATATACTCAATGGTCTATGCATTTAACAATACTCCATGAAGGTGAACCAAGGACTATCCCAGCTACCAGCAGTGACTCATACCCGCATCATTTACTATATATCTAGAACTTGATAACCCACAACCTTATTCTGAATTGACTATGTAAATTCTGTGTCAACAATTCATATATAAATTGTATGCCTTTGCCACTTAGATGACAAAAGATTCAGGAAACCCTTAATCTTATCCAGAACACACAAAGAAAAAATTACGGTCAAAACTTTTTTCACCAAAACAGAAACCAGTTTATACCATGGGATCAGTGTTAGAAATTAAGGCTGGACCGTCTGCCCGGGGCAGACAACTTTCAGAACGGGCAGAGAAGTTTTCCCACCTGGCAGGCATTCTAGCCAGCTAATTTCCAAGATGGCTGAGCTTACGGTCCAGCAACTTATTTTCCTAAGAGGAAAACACTGCATGGGATATTTTTTAACTTTCATTGTAAAGGATGGGTGTTCAACTAGAAGCATACATGTAGCAATCTTAAACTTGTCAGGGTCTCCAATACCTACTAGTACATGGTTTTGAATATCTGCAGAACACCTCAAACAAATCGGACATATACCATAGTTGCTGACACATAGCCCAAATGCCCAACTATGCTCTGCAGAAACAATGGCTGTTTACCCAGTTCTCAGTGTACAAAAAAATCAGAGGAAACTTCTAGCATAAGACAGGGGATATCCCCAGAACAGCTCCGCTTCTGACAAAAAAACAGGTCCAAAAACAGGCTCAAGCAACAGTTACACCAGGTGCTTTTGCGCTGTAACTGAGACAACACATTTATACCTTCTTAGTATACACTTGTATGTGAATAAGTTGCGACAAAATAGGAGGGCTAAGAGGTGAATTAGCAGATAAATAATTCATAATTATATTTCCGTTGGTGTTTTAACTTTTTTTCTCAGGCTGAAACTGAAGTCCCCCAGAGCATGAAACTCAACTGTGCTGAAAAAGACTTCAATGGAATTCAACCATGCTGGAAAAAAATCAGCTACTTACCTGAGTAAACTGACAGCCTCTTACAGCCATCAACATTGCACAAACTGCACATCCAAACACTGGATATAAGGACTTGAGGACCGACAATCCTAAATGTAATCACATGCTACAAGCTATCAGTAAGAGGCTTTTCCCAGAAAACCCTCCAGCCGTCATTTGGACAGCTGGACTGCTTATGAATTTTTTGAAATCTTTATATATGGACTCCCTGAAATTTTGTAGGAAATTTGAGGTGATAATTTTAGATGACCTGTACCCCCAATCCTGGGAAAAGCCCTGGTAGGAGCCCATGTTAGAGTCAGACTTTCATTTTGTACTTACCTGCATTTTTATCACCATAGGATTAAAACTTTCTTACTAAAATAGAGAATGAGAAGCTTATGCTATGCTCAGACTGTTAGTGGCTTGTGGATTAGTGTTCTAACCAAAGATTAGCACCTATAAAACCAGCCGCAGGTAGCAGACTAAAGACCCAACCCCCTCCCACATGTAATGAATACACCAAAGACCACAATGGAGAGATGAGAAACTAATGTGGACCTTCGGGGATCAAATTCAACAGCCCTGTAGAATTCTCCCCTTTCATTATTGAAATACTACCGTTGCGAATTTCACCTGAGTAACTCACTGTGTCACAGCTATCTGTTACGTCATAAAGAATGTGTCATAATATGTACCAAAGCCTGGGAAATCCTGTGGTCGCGGAAGACAGTCTCTTATCAAAAGCACTACTGGGACATTTGTCTGGGTATACCTTTGTACCTTAGCCTATCCTCTTATTTTCACTAGACATGAATCATTCTAAAGAACACCTACAGATGAAGTATTTCAGGCATATATATTGTTAATGTCCTGAGGAAGGTTATATTTACAATCCTGTTCCTTTTTCTTCTCCCCTGATTCAAATGCATTAAAATATTCCACCTATCCTAATACCCTCGTGATCACTTATAATGAGAAAATGCATGGTAATTATAACTTCATCAAG